AATGTAATGCAATTTATCATAATATATCGTAATAAAGAATATAATGTAATATATATATACGGCCGCTAGAGGTCAGTGTTACACCATTCAGTGACAGTTCCTCTCCCGTCCAGCAGGTGACAGTAAAACGAGCTTCACGTTAGTGTGTGTCCATAGAAAAGCTTCTCCAGACAGACAATGTGTTGATTAAAAAAGCTCTACGTCTGATTTTATATTTATGATATGTAGTCAAACATTTAGGAATTAATTCGTCGTAACAAGATGAACATTTCCCTCAGTTTGCAGTGGCTGACGAACGTCCATGAATGAGGAAGATGTGATGAACCTGCTTGGACTCACTGTTTTCATTTATAGTGACAAAGTTAAGTATGAGACTTGTTTATGAAGTGTCGGAGCTTAGTTCTTGTGCATGATGAATGTGGTTTGGCTGAAGACAGATGAACACACTCTAATGTTCCACAATATGTCTCTGCCCATCTGATAGTGTATTATAGTTGTAAGTTTGTACAAGTCACTTATCCAGCTGTGTGTTATTGGTGTGTAAGTTCATAGTTGTTGTAAGGTCATATCATTGCATGTTAGTTCACCAGTCCACTAGGTGGCACTGTGACATTGAAGTTGTTGCCGTTCAATAAGCATAGAAGAGAAACTGGGAAAACGAACTTCGCGGCCACCAAGCGCACCAAAGGTTTACCGCCGGGGTGAGACAGGTCGTGCGGAGCGCATCCAACTGGCAGGCCTGTGGAGACGTCGCACAGGAGAGTAACGCCTGTGTCACCAAAAACCACATCCTCCAAGCACAGCCCCAAGCTGTCCTCCTTCAGGGCCTGAACGCCGGGGTCTGTGACCTGGTCCGTCACCATGCGGGTATAATCCAGGCCCAACTGGACGGCCCTGATGACGACCCTGGAGAGGCAATCTGCGACCAAGTTCGATTTGCCAGCCACGTGTTTAATGTCTGTGGTGAACTCTGAGATGTAAGACAGCTGCCGCTGCTGACATGCAGACCAAGGCTCAGCCACTTTTGACATGGCGAACGTGAGCGGTTTGTGGTCGACAAACGCCGTAAACTCCCGGCCTTCCAGGAAAAAACGGAAGTGCCGCACGGCCACCCAGAGTCCAAGGAGCTCCCGGTCAAAAGTGCTGTACATGCGTTCCCTGGGCGTCAGCTGAAAAAGGCGAGCGGCTGCCAAGCGCTCTCCACCCACTGCTCGTGCACCGCACCAACGGCGTAGTCCGATGCGTCTGTGGTAATGGAGATGGGAGCCGTGGATGATGGGTGCGCCAACAGAGCCGCCTGAGCCAACGCGGTCTTGACCTCCGTAAAAGCAGACTCAGCTTCCGCCGTCCAGTCGATCGCCTGGATGGGGGTTGTACCTTTCAAAGCCTCATACAGCGGCCGCATAATGTGGGCGGCCCGGGCGATGAAACAGTGGTAGAAAGTCACCATCCCCAGGAACTCACGGCGCGACCGGGCTGTGAGTGGGCGAGGAAACGCCGCAACAGCCTCAACCTTCGCCGGCAGGGATGCTGCACCGCCCTTGGTGACGCGGTGTCCGAGGAAATCAATGTCAAAAACCCTGAACTGGCACTTTGCAGGATTGATTATCAACCCGTGTTGACTGAGCCTCGTGAAAAGGGCTCGTAGGTGTGACAGGTGCTCTTCTACCGAAGCGCTGGCGACGAGTATGTCGTCCAGGTAAACGAACATGAACGGCAGGTCCCGCAGCACCGAATCCACCAGGCGCTGGAACGTTTGGGCGGCGTTCTTGAGCCGAAAAGACATCCGCAGGAACTCGAAAAGTCCAAACGGCGTTATCACTGCTGTCTTAGAGACGTCCAGGGGATGCATGGGCACCTGGTGGTAACCACGCACCAGGTCCACTTTCGAAAACACCAACGTACCGGCCAGATGTGCTGAAAAGTCTTGAATGTGCGGCACCGGGTAGCGGTCAGGTGTCGTGGCATCGTTGAGGCGGCGGTAATCCCCGCAAGGGCGCCAACCGCCGTTCGGCTTGGGAACGACGTGTAGAGGAGAGGCCCAAGGACTGTCAGAACGGCGGACGATACCCATGCGTTCCATGGTTGAAAACTCCGCCCTCGCTACTGCAAGCTTAGAAGGGTTCAACCGCCGGGCCCTGGCGTAGACTCGGTGGTGACGTGGTGCTCCACCCCATGCTTGGTGGTGAGCGCGGAGAAGGTGGGTAGCGTCAGGTCTGGAAATTCAGCCAACAGCCTGAGAAAAATGTCCGCTCCCGACAGCGAGCCCGACATACGCTGCCTTGCCAAGTGTACACACGAGGGAGGAAAACGTCAAGGCGTCAACGGAGCGTTTATTTGTAACGTCCACCAGGAGTCCGTGAGCACATAAAAAGTCTGCCCCGAGGAGGGGAAAATAAATGTCTACCGTCACAAAATCCCAGTTGAACGGCTGTCCTCCAATACACAAACACATATGCCTCACGCCGTACGTGCGAATGGGGCCGCCATTAGCCGTCGTCAACCGCGGTCCATGTCCCCCAAGAGCGACGTCTTCCCTCGAAGCAGGAACTACACTCCGTTGAGCTCCCGTGTCACACAGAAACAAGCTTCCTGAGACTCTGTCGCTGACGAAGAGAAGCCTGCTCGTGCCGCCAACGCTCAGGGCCACTACCGAGCGCTGGCTCCTCCATTTCCCGGAGGCTTGTAGCTGCAGGGAGCGACACACTTCTTTGCGCTGGCGCCGAACCGCGCGTGGTAAAAACACTCTCCTGTGTCTCCACGCCGGCTTGTTACTGTCGCGTCCAGCCTTCCCCAAACCTTCTTAACTGTTGAGGGGGCGCTGAGTGTCACAGCTAGCGCCTCTGCACCGGGCTGCTGGGTAGCCAATAAAAAACGGTCGGCCTCTTCAGCCAATGCACGGGGCTCCGTAATGGACGTGTTGGCTAGCGCCGTCTGAACCCGGGAAGGCGCAGGAACATCTCCATGAACAAAACCCGAGGGTCTTCCCCCCCTAGCAGATTCAGCATTTTCTCCATCAGCTGAGATGGCTTGCTGTCCCCTAGGCCTTGAATGTCAAGAATCTGGCGGGCCCTCTCCTTAGCAGATAAGCTAAATGTCTTAAGGAGAAGGGCCTTAATCGCCTCATATTTGCCATGATGTGGGGGGTCTGCGATAAATCCCACCAACCTGGATGACGTGGAGCTTCCCATCGCTGCTACCACGTGGAAATATTTCAAATCCCCATCACAGACTTGTCGGCAGGCAAAGTGTGCCTCCACGTGTGCGAACCACGCAGCGGCGGCATGCTCCCAAATCTCCGGCAGCTTTACAAAAACATTGCGATCAGCCATGTTAATTGAGTCTTCGGAAACTTTCTCGAAAACGTCAGGGTCACCAGTGTAGTGCCGATGAAAGGGAGGCGGTGTATTAAGAATGGACTTCCACACTTTATTATCCATTAATCTCTAAGAGGTTAGAACATGAACTGCTCTGCATGACAAGCAAGCAGGAATGACATCAAACCCCGGCACCCTCACTAACGGGTCCGGGTTGCAACACAATAATATCAATGGTGAATTATAACGTGTCACCACAATATATCATTTAAATATATGCTCATTTGGTCTTTTGTATGCACAATGTATTTTTCATTGGCCTATTGTCTATGGTGCTAACTCACAATGACTTGCAATATACTATACAGGTTGTTTTATACATTAGAAAATATAGACTTGACTTGAATACTGATTGATTTTTTTGAATCACAATAACTTTTATAACTAAGCTTGCTGTTATAAATGACTTTGGGGGCTTCAATATTGACAATATGCAAGTAGTGAGTTAAGTTTGGGACATTTGGAGAAATATAGGTTCTATTAATGTTGCATATATTATTTGTTAAATTATATTGAGTCATTAAGCATATTTTTTATAGTTATAATGCTGTTTTCGGACTGGTAAAACATTTTTGTGCCTGGTAATTTCACAGTTTTACACGTGCCATCTGTGCCAAGATTGTTTTTTTTATATTTTAAAGATAGGTGATACAAACAGGAAACTTCTGCAGACTTTAATAACAATCTAAATTAACAAGTCCACTTCTAGAAAAACCTTCAACGTCATCATTCAAATGTAAGATATAGATGCAACATATGGTCGGTGCATTTCCACTACAGGGTTTTAGCGCGGCTGGGCTCGAACTTTTTTGCTTTTCCACTAGGGGTACCGGCTCACTGGTACTTTTTGTAGAACCAGCTCAGTCGAGGTTCCAAGCGAGTTTAAAATATGCTTGGCTAGTGACGTAAAACACTGCCGACCGCTGATTGATCAGAGAGAATCGTCACAATTCTTGCGCAAGACACTCCCCAAGCGTCGCATAAGCAGCGCCATTTTTAAAACAGACGAGCTAACGTTAGGTATTTCTAATTTCAACAAAGTATTTTTTATTTCAACAAATCCACAAAAAAATGTCAGCTAAAAAACCCAAGTTGTGGTCGTTGGACGAGGTACAGACGTTACTCAAACTCGTTGCGGATGAAAAAATACAGCGGGAGCTCGACGGCATATGGCATAACGAGAAAGTTTACCGGGAGGTCTCTACACTGTTGGCCGTACACGGCTTCACGAGGACTTTCCCGCAGTGTGGAGAGAAACTAAAAAAAATGAAGCGTAGTTATAGAGCCATCAAGGACCACAACGGCCGGAGTGGTTCCAGTAGGACAACGTGGAAGTGGTTTGACCGGATGGACGCCATATACAGCCATAGTCATAGACCGGTCAACGTTGAGAGGGAGGGAGGGAGGCCTGGACTCGGCAACGAAGGTGCTGGAGGCCGTGCAGGATGGTACGTTTTTGCTAACGCTCTGTTCTTTCCTTGAAAGCGTTGTGTCCCTATCTATTGTAAAGCTCGGTTCTAACAGCTTCCGCCTACATTGCGTCGTTGAGTCATTCTACAGAAAAGGTGGAATCTGGGTAATACAAATCTGCTGAAATATATTCCTTCTAAACACATCTAAAACGTGTTAAATAGCAAGAACTAATATGGCTTCAGTCAATATCAAAATCGTTTAACTCTTCAATACAATACATTTCCCCATTCAAATGTTCACCCCTAGGGCTATGACTATTGATTATTGTTCATTATAGCGTTGCAATGCGTTATCAGTTAAAGTTATGTAATGTAGAGCCGATTAATGGGAGTCGGAGGCGGTGTGTTAAGTATGGAATGCCACACTTTATTTTCCATTAGGTTACAGACAAAATAATGTAGGCTACATGCTACCGTGAAGCTGAGAATGCTAACAACAACAACAACAACAACAACAACAACAACAACCGGAACATGGTACCACCCACTAACTGGTCCGTGGTGCAACACACTGTATATCCCGGTGAATTATTTCCCGTAATGTTCCACCAGCCCCGGGGCGGAATTATTAAAGACCGTGGTATCGTTAAGCTCTGACTTTATCGCTCTTTGTATCGTTTTAGTTTCGCCAATACCGTTGCTAAAATGCAATAAGACTACCAAATGCGTCTATGATGTATTTTCGATCTTTCCAATCCAGGCGAGAGATCTCTCTACCCTGTCTGTGTGCGAGGGGGCGGGGCAATCTACACACACTTAGCTGCTACATGCATGCAACACACACACACAGCGGAGATGGCGGAGAGAATGGAGAGAACTAAGCGCTCCAAGGTGTGGTTAAACTTTACCCGACTCGATCTGGACAATGCTCGTTGCCAAATGTGCAATAAGAATTTTGCATGTAAGGGCGGTAACACGAGCAATTTGTCTAAACATTTAGCAAAAGTGCACCACATTCAGTGGGAGAAATGCACCGTTTTCGATTGTCTTTCTAGTAGCGCTGTAGCCCCATCCACGAGTAACGTTTCCACGTCAGGTATGTATATCCTCCAGAATAACCGTTAGGCCTTTTGGCGCATACTTGTATGCCCCACCTGTGTTGCTCTGTAGGCCACTGTATTTTTGCAGTAAATGCTTGTTTTTTGTTTGTTTTTTACAGTTCTGTAAGTTCACATTATTTACAATTTGTTTAGTTAATTTACCTTTTTATCTTCTTCAAAAGAATTGATAAGAGTACTGTTAAAGGACCTGATCGATTAGTGGTATCGGTAAAAGTAGTAGTACCGTTAAAACCTTAACAATACCCATCCCTATAATGGTATAGCAGTCACCAGTACTTGACCCTTTCCCTCTCTCCTCTACAGGTCGCATCACGTCTGACCCAGTTCAGACCTCCTCTGACCCAGTTCAGACCTCCTCTGACCCGGTTCAGACCTCCTCTGTTGGTCTGTGTAAACTGGTCCGCTGGGCTCACAGCCACGGCACCATCTGCAGCCTCCTCCCCAGCCTGCAGCAGCTCACCTCCCACGGTACAGCGCTGACAACAGAACCCGGTTCCCACGGCAGCAGCGTTCCTGTCGCCGTGTGGAGTTGTGCCGATGGACACGCATACTACTGGCCCCTCAGTGAGCATAGCAATGCTAACGGAGGCTCAGGCCATACTAGCAATGGTCAGGAGAGGTTTGTTGGAGGGCGTCCATCCAATAAGGTAAGGTAGAGATTTAACATCTTTTAATGTATTTTGGATTTCATTGCAAACCTAATTTGAGGTGTCCAGCACAGCTATAACACTTAAAGGAGACATGTCATGCTTTTCCGGTTATTACCCGTCCCCTTGTGTGTTATGAAGGTTTTTATGCATGTAAACGGTCTGCAGAGTCAAAAACCCTCAAAGTACACCCTGTAGCGAGTAAAACTCTAACACAGAAAATACCTCCCCAAAACGCCTCGTTGGAGATTTCTCATTTTTCATTGTTTACTTCCTGGGTATCGCTACGTGGGGATACCCAGTAGCCACGCCCAGAGCTGTGACCAGGCTGATTGGTCCAAATTAACCAATCCACAGACTTCCTCACACACACACACAGTGCAGGCAGCTCTGCTGATTTCTCCTCCCTGGCTGCTGGCTGATAACAGACATTTGGGATCGCGGCGAAATTCTCTCTGCAGACCCATTCTCACAGCGTTTGTCAACCTATACACCCTTTTCTTACCAAGCCACACTTATTGTTTTTACTTCGGCTGTGGCTTTGTGTGTGCTCAGGATGAGTTTGGCTGTGTTTCGCTGTGTATCGCTAAACAAGGAAACCACACCTCCACGGAGCTCAGCGCGATTCACAACGTCCCGACCAATCAGAGCACACTGGGCTCACAGGGAGGGTGGGGGCTTGAGCTATTGGAGCTACAACGAGCCGTTAAAGGCAGAGAGTGGAATTCAGTGAATACACGTAGTTTACAGAGATGCTGTATGAGAAACCAATGTGAGTTTGGAAAATTGCACAATATAAATCTATTCTAGTAGACTTCAACAATGGAATTATGATCAGTGGAAATGGCCATGACATGTCTCCTTTAACATACTCAAATGCACAATAAGTGGTGAAATCACAATGTCACAATCAAATGGCCCTTGAAATTCTCTCAAATGAAAGCATACACATCCTAGATAAACGGTGTTGATGCCTCGAAGGGAAGCAAAGTTGTCGCCCTCTGTATTTAAGGTTACAGAGCGAAGAGGATTTAAGACACCGCCAACTCACTAATACCCCTTTGCAGCAATACATGTGAAATGTATACTTTCATTTTAAAAGACCACCGCACCAGTTGTATCATATTTATTCCAAGAAAAAACAACACCTTACTTTGGTGTATTCAGCCTAGAAATGCAGATTTTGAGGATTCCATTGCTTTCAATTTGATTGGTAATTGTTTGATATTGATTCTCCCCCTACATTATCAGTGTCAGAAAGTGGGTTGATTTTATTTTGCAAAAATGTGTTACGGTGCTTGAGTGTTGTTAGACATTTTGAATTCCTAGATATAGAGTCTTTAAAGAAATGCCTTAGTTAATAAGTATCACACAAAGTTTAGGGACATCAATGAGCAGGGACGTGTACGGGCTAATGTTGCCCGGGCAACGGCCCGTTTGGCCTTTTTGGCTGACCTGCCCGTCTGGAGAGAGCGAGAGTTTGTTTTTATTTTTTCTGTTGTGGCCCACAATTAGTATTGTAGCGTCTCGCTGCGGGAAACACACTTTGGCCCAATCCCAAACCGCCCCCTACACACTACCCCTCCGTTTGGGCGTTCGCGCGGAGGGTCCGCCACATTAAGTGCTGTTCCAAACCAACGAGTGTGGAGCGGTGTGGAGGGGGAGTGGGCTATCAAGCCCTCAAACAACGAGTCTGCAGCGGTGCTGACTAGAGACCGGTCTCAACGCTGTGTGTGTCGGTCAGGAAACACGCTAGTAGTAGTTCCAGCAAACATCCGCTGATAAACTGCGATGTTAACAACCTCATGATAACCTCATATTTTTTTACTTAGGATCGTAGACCTGTGTTTAGTCTACAATTGTTTTTAAATTATAAAGTTGGGTATATTTACAGACTGTTGCAAAAACTAAGAAGCTTATAAACATCAGGTTTAAAACTAAAAGAGCTTTACAAAAAAGTAACACAATGAAAGATGTTTGGAGTTTTATTTGAGTTATTAATTTACATTTGTTGTCAAAGAGATGCTGATTTGAAACCGTTGTTACATACAGTTACGGCATTTCCTGTTTCTGCCGGAGAGAGGGGAGTTTGTGCCAAAGCTTGCCGCTGTATTTACTCCCTCCATCTGACAGGAGGGAGCCTCGTGTGTCACTCCACAGAGTTCACTCCGTCACGGAGGGGGAGTGTGTAGGGGTAGGGTGTGGCTTGGTTTGGGATTGGGCCTTAGTCAGCGCTGTCATTTGCCGGTGCGTTAAAGACCACCTCAGTGTCGGATTTTGGAAACTTGATCTTGAGTTCTCTCATGGCAGTTAGGGTAGGCTATAAGGGACAAACCAGGGGACTTTACTTCCTCTTGATACCGTCGGTTATTTACAAAAAAACACCTAAATATAGTCTAGGGCTGCAGTCCAATAGTCCATTTAGCTTAGGAACCTTCCTAACCGAGTGAAATGACCCGGAAGTCCCTCAGTGGCAGCCATGATAAGTGCCGTTCAAATTCTCTACATGATAGGAAAGGAGTTTTCAAACTTCCTTTATAACCTCCTTTAGCTTAGGAATCACTGGACCTCCCTTACCGAAAGGAGAGGAGAAAATGCTGCCCCACAATGCCTTGCAGCCGCAGCATTTGCCGTCACACAACAGTCGGCCGTTCACGGAAACAACCGATTATGACGGAGAAATTATATCATGAAAGTTACGGTGCTTATTAAGCATTTTAAAACGTATGTGGTAAATTGCCAAAGTGCTTTGTTTTGAACGTTCATCAGTATTATAATCAAAAAGAGAAATATGAACGTTAGTTTTTACTGAAATGATCAAATAAAGTCAACATCTCACAGTCTTTACTGAGCTGTGCGGGGTTTGTTCAACTTTTAAAAGATGTTTGAATGGTGATATACACAGTGATAGATGGTAAGGACTAACGTTTATAATAAATACATTTGTATTTATTTTAAGATCTTTTCATACAATCATGCGTATTGGGATCATTTGTATTAATGTGGACCGGAGGGAGAGGGTGACGAGCATAAGTTTCACTTTCCTTTTTTATTTCAATTCCAACTTTGGTCATGAAGAATATGTTTCTCTGTTGTCCCCGTTCATAAAGCATAAAGCAACAGCATCAGAGCACGGTGCAGAGTCTCTAGATGAGTTTACAGTAGTCCCTCGTTCTTATTAAACATCCATGTTGTAGTCCGCTGAATAGAAAACTAGTTTCCCCACAGCAGCAGCAGACGCACAAAATTACGTCCGCTGGCGCATCATAAACACGTTGGATAGTGAAAGTGCAGTCGGATTCTCTAAAGCACCGCGGTCTCTTCTCCTAAATCCTTTTGAATTCTCCTATCCACTATCCCTTAACCCCGTGACGTTTCACTCAGAGGTCAAGGAATAGACGATAGGGTTAGACGTTAGGAGCTGATTTTTGGATTATCCGACTGTAGCCTACTTGTTGTTGTTGTGCTTCTGTCTTTCTGTGTCTTTTCATCTTTAAACTCCCTCAACGGGGCCGCTCGCTCTCTTTTCTTGATCGCCCTTTCACGGGTGAATAGTTCACTGTCCCGCTTCATTGTAGGATTTTTGCCATGTCTCTAACACTTTAGTTTGACCATCTCTGTTATTAAGTTATGGAATACTAAATCAATAAGTAATCAGATACCTTACCGTTACTGCGCTCATAAAGAATGATAAGAATAATGCGTATTGAACTGGTTTAATTTAATTAATTAGTGAGTTTTTTAAGGTAATTAGTTAGAAGGCCTATTTTATCAGTATGTCTGGACTGCACAGCAGTTACAATGGTCAAACTACATTAGAACAGAATTGTTCCCATTTTGTCTTTTAATAGTTACTAACATTAGACATTTTTGATGAGATATGGACCGCAAAACAAAACCTTTCCCTGGTTTTCATTTTTGAAATCAAGTCACCGAATGCAAGTAGCTTATTTTGTTATGAGATGTGAATTACTGTTCAATTTAGTTGATGTAATAATCGTTTGGTTTCTTTTACATTAAAAACAAGTTACAATTTTCAAAAGGTCTTGTGATTTTTATTGGGGGGGGGGGCCCTTTTTCCAGTTCAGAGCCATAGCACCTCCAAATGTCCACTTCCCTGTCAATGAGACACATTTATAAAAACGATATAGAGTACAAATCGTGACTTCACTCTGATTTGGTACAGTTAGTAAACTTGAATTTCTCATGCACTCTCTATTACCTTCCAGGTGACAGTAAAGGCGTCATGTGACCTGTCCTATAGTGAAGCAGCATCACAGGGGGAACAGTTCAGCAGTGGATGTGATTCGTCGGCAATGGCCGAAGATGATGACTATGAGCCACGCCCATCCAGAAAAAGAGGTGGGGCAACGGGAGTAGCACTTCCTGTGAAGAACGTCAAACAGGAAGCAGACTCTGCAGAGGATTGTGACTCTGGCATGTAGGGCTGGCAGAGAAAGACGTTTCATCACAGGCTCAGGGCGCCAGATCTGGGGGGGGGGAAACACCGTTTGACTGTTTGAGTTCATCCTAATTTTCGGGCATGATGTAACAACATTCATAATTAATTAAAGATAACACCCTTTTCACCCCGGTTACACGTTTAATTTGCCCTGTACAATGGGCGCTGTAAGTTATGAAAGTGTGGGATGTTGGCTTATTGGCCCGCAGCTCACAGCCAAAGGGAGGGAATTGTGTTGTTAGCATCTGGTGCTGAAAAAAAGGCAGATCATATACAATGTGTATGAGTTTGTTCTGTTCTGTTCACTCACACCACTTAATAACTAAGTGGCTCTGACTTTGATGTTCCAGTAAATAGTCTAATTGATAGTGGACTTTTACATATTTAAGGATCAGTGGTTCAAAAAAAAAATGTCTATGCAAAGTAATACATTTGATTGATTGTGTTGTTTTGTGTGTTGACGAAAGCTGTTTTACATTAAAGCAACAAAAATACTGAGTGTTATGAAGTAAAGCAAGTCTTTTTTCATTTTAGAAAGGAAAAAAAGCCTTTGTCCATGGGTTTGTATTGCTTAAAAAATATATTATTTCAGTTGGAGATGTGGATGACTGAAAATGTAAAACCTATATATAAATATGGGGCGAAAGACACCATCATATATCAGCACAACTGCCGTCTTCTGGTAACATTCTACCAATAGATGAAGGAATGTTTCTTTTCCTTTTTAATGTGTTTTATTTTAAAACAGAAGTGAGAAATCAAGATGCAAAGATCAGAAGTGAGGGGAAATCTGAAAAAAACGATAATGTGAGCTATATTAAGTAAAATGACCTTTTAAGGTATTAGGACTTTCTGGCCCCATTTCTTATATGTGCAAAAATAAAACCTGAATTTCAATATATATTGAATGTAACACTTTTAGATTTCCTTTTGCTTTCTGTAATGTGTGGCATTTTAGACCTAATTTATGACAGACACACATAAACGCTTGGTCTAATATTTTTTCCACAAAAAAAGCTAAATACAAATTAATCTGCTCCTTCCCTTTATTATAAAACATAAAATAAGCAAATGGATTACTTTTAATGGTTCAAAGCTGGATTTAAGATGTCTCCTTCACTGAAGAGTTAATTATCAGAGGCTTCAGGCTTCTTCATCACACTTGTGTAAATTGCATACTGAAGTTGAACACAGAGAAGCCTTAAACCTCCAACTCTGGAAATGCATCGCTTTGCACATTGAAGGCCTACAACCCAATTGGAGAAACAAAAAGGCTAAATATATGGTGGATTGAGGCATGTGCCATTAAACATTTTGTTTTTTTAATTGTATTACTCTTTTAGAATATAACTGTTCTATCATGATCCCCCACTATCATTTTTGGGATTACAATACAATCAATTATAATTTAATATAACTAAATATAAAATACGACTATCTCAAATATAATTGTAAATATAATATATGTATGTGATATACTATACTATAGTGTGATCATATAAATTATCATAGCATATTTTAAAGCAATTTACATAATATATCGTAATAAAGAATATAATGTACTATATATGCGGCCGCTAGAGGTCAGTGTTACACCACTCAGTGACAGTTCCTCTCCCGTCCAGCAGCTGGCAGTAAAGCGAGCTTCACGTTAGTTTGTGTCCATAGGAAACCTTCTCCAGACAGAGAATGTGTTGATTAAAAAAGTCAAACATTTAGGAATTAATTCGTCGTAACAAGATGAACATTTCCCTCAATTTGCAGTGGCTGACGAACGTCCATGAATGAGGAAGATGTGATGAACCTGCCTGGACTCACTGTTTTCATTTATAGTGACAAAGTTAAGTATGAGACATGTTTATGAAGTGTCGGAGCTTAGTTCTTGTGCATGATGTGGTGTGTCTGCAGACAGATGAACACACTCTAATGTTCCACAATATGTCTCTGTCCCATCTGATAGTGTATTGTAGTTGTAAGTGTGTACAAGTCACTTATTCAGCTGTGTGTTATTGGTGTGTAAGTTCACAGTGTACAGAGAAACACGCAGAGAAGAAGAGATGTTGCTAATTTTGCAAACAAAAATTATAACTCACTTGCCTACAAATAAAAGTACAATTAATATAACATATATCATTTAAATATATGCTCATTTGGTCTTGTATTTCTCATTGGCCTATTCGTATGGTGCAAGTCCTCACAAGGACTTGCAATATACTATACAGGTTGTTTTATACGTTAGAAAATATAGACTTGACTTGAATACCGATTGATTTTTTAAAATCACAATAACTTTTTTAACTACGCTTGCTGTTAGAAATGACTTTGGGGGCTTCAATATTGACAATATGCAAGTAGTGAGTTCAGTTTGGGATATTCGGAGAGCTATAGGTTCTATTAATGTTGCATAATACTATTTGTTAAATTATATTGAGTCATCATGCATATTTTTTATCGTTATAATGCTGTTTTCAGATTGGTAAAACATATTTTTGTGCAAGGTAATTTCACAGTTTTACACATGCCATCTGTGCCAAGATTGTTTTTTATATATTTTAAAGATAGGTGATACAAACAGGACACTTCTGCATACTTTAATAACAATCAAAATTAACAAGTCCGCTTCTAGAAAAACCTTCAACTTTATTCAAATGTAAGATATAGATCATGCAACATATGGTGCATTTCCACTACAGGGTTTTAGCCTATATATACAGTATATGGTTTTAGCGCGGCTCGGCCAACCCAGTCTCACAAAAAAACGTGTAATAACTACGTTGCTCCACAACGTAGGACGTAGTATTTCTACAAAAACGCCTCTGAAATTGTAGGATCCCTACATTTTTTTTCCAATGGCTGGCGTCTATGTCACGTGATCTTCAAATGTCTCCCTGCAGAAGAAAAAAAAACATGGCCGAACTTCGTTTTATTCTCGGTGGAAAATGCCTATTTTAAAGTTACTTTGGCCATTAAAATGCGTTTTGATGTCATTTGATGCGAGAAATATGAGTTGTTATTTCAGATTATGTGTGCAGTGGATGTACATGATCTTTAGTTTGCTAGTTATTATGAAGATTACTTCAGGAAATTGTGTCTATACAACGTTTTAATTGTTACCAAGGTGGTTGCTAGGGACGCTGCTATCGATATTATTTCTGTTATGTTGTGTAACTGTTTAATAGTGTTATCTTTATTGCTACCCCCTTCCCCGTCAATTTATAGTGTTGGTCCACAGCGCAAACGTATTAGTTTAACAAAATCCGCATCTAAAATTGTGGCATAGATACGTTATTTTACCCTGTGCAATTCTCCATTTACTCAACAATAACACATAATTATCCTTGTGTTTATTTATTTGTTTGATTAATAAACACAAGTTGGAGTCCGTCAGGACCAAGGGTCGGAGCAGCTAATTTGCTTTAGAGAATATTACACCCGGAAGTAAGTATTCTCTCCGCTTCGCTTGACAAATCCTGTGATAGTCCTCAAGCTCTGTGATTGGAGAGTGTGCTCCGAGGGTTACGCCGAGCGTCGAACAGCACTTGAAATGGGATGGAACCACGGCAGACTGTCCAAAACTGGATTTGAACGGGTCCACCCCGTCCCCAGAACTACACATGCTGGCTATTGTGTTTCGCAACATGTTCTCTATGGCACGTCTCTACTGGGAATTGTAGTTTTAGAAGACGTTTTCGTATTTCCCATAATAAGAAGTTGCCAGTATTAAACTGTTTACATCCCTGGAGGTTTAGGGGATAGGAAACACTCAAATTTAAAACATATAATTAATAAATGGGTGAAAATTGCTTGTGCCCATAATGGGCAGCATTAATATATATACCCACATGCCAGCTAAGGTCAGAAGAGCTTTATTTAACAGCTGGTATTATGTCTGTGACCCCTCCTGTTGTTGAATTGATAAGCCTGAAACATGCACTTGTCAAGGTTCAGAGGCACATTTTGCAAATATGGCAGTAGCCATCGATCATCTCAAGATAAGATATACTTTATTGATCCCAAGTTGGAAACATTTGCGTTACATCAGCATGTGTAACAGTTGTAAATATGCAGTGGTGTTTATTTGTAAATCATTTAGTATAATCACACAAATTCTGTGTTTTATATTTAATAATTCTGTGTTCTTTATTCATTGATTGTTCAATACCTGACAAGGCCGGAGATGAAATATCTACATACATCTTATAAGAGTATAATACATATGTATAATATCAGTTAAAATAAGTGCTTTAACATAGTTAACATTCCTGGAGGTATACACACATATTGATAGATGTCTTGTAATGCACTGTTGAGGAACCTGCGACCCAAGTTTTTCATTCAATGCATAACTACACCATAGTTGTGTATATGATATGTCAATACAACTTAGACAATCTTGAAATCTTGAAAGGGATGTGCAAAATAGTCATTACAGTCTTTAATTAACTATTAGTAGAGAATAACGAGTAATGAATATACTTTATAGCAGTGGCGAACCGTCAGGGCCTTCAAGGTATTCAGAGAATACCCTGGAACACTCAGATAAAACAAACAAAAAATCGATTTAATTATATAAATAAAATGTAATAAAATGTATATAAAATGAATAAATAAGAATCGTATCTGCGTTGTTGATCTGTAATATTACAGTGTTACGTTGATTTGTTTGTCCTTCTCGGACCATGCACTGCGCATTTTAGTGGTTTTGTGTTAGAAAAGAAAGCAACCAATCAGATCTTGTTCTGGGTCTCTGGATAGAATATCCTTCAACAAGGTATTCTACATCCTTGATAGAATGCCCTGGCCGTTGCACTGAATGAGAGCGTACGTTTGGACTGACAGTTTGATCAACCAATCAGATATTGATTTGTAGCCAATGGGCGTATTCTTTCAGAGTTCCCCTCGGTTCCAGGGTACTCTAGAAGGTCCGCTAGTTAACTGGCTCGAGACAGAGGATCTAGAATGCCACAAAGCAATTCATGCCGTTTTATTGTTTTTAACGTTGAAATGACAAGTGCAACAGGTGAAGATGAAGTTGTGAAGATTGTTGTGAGTACCCTTTTCAAGACGACAATTCAGTGAAAAGACGGACATTATAATGCCGCGGAAGGGGGGGGGGCGACGGCGGCGGGGGGTGGGTGTGTCTACAGAAGGTCCAGTTGTGATAGACACGGTTCGCCACTGCTTTATAGGGATATCTAATAATAAAAATAATGAAATTCAATAACATGCTTTAACCACTAGGTGTCCCTTTATATCAGCTGTGCACCGTTATGGTGTAAATACAGCCTATCTACCAATTGGATCAAATATAAAAGTCAGCCGAATAGTACCGATAAAAAGACCGATAACGTTGGAGCTTAACGGCGCGTAATGACGTCACCAACGAATCGACGACTGAATTAGTTTGCAACTAATTTGGTCATCGATTTTAATCGATTAAGCCGATTAGTTGTTGCACCCCTAATTCAGCCTTGAAATGCAGATGTTGAGGATTCCATTGCTCTCAATTTGATTGGTAATTGTTTGATGTTGATTCTCTTCCCCTACATTATCAGTGTCAGAAAGTGGGTTGATTTTATTTTTTGCAAAAATGTGTTATGGTGCTTAAGTTGCTGGCTACCAAAGTGTCCTTTTTCATGTTGCACATTTTGAATTCCTAGATATAGAGCCTTTAAAGAAATGCCTTAGTTAATAAGTATCACACTACACAACGTTTAGGGACATCAATGAGTCACATTTATAAAAACGATATATAGTACAAATCGTGACTTCACTCTGATTTGGTACAGTTAGTAAACTTGAATTTCTCATGCACTCTCTATTACCTTCCAGGTGACATTAAAGGTGTAATGTGACCTGTCCTATAGTGAAGCAGCATCACAGGGGGAACAGTTCAGCAGCGGATGTGATTCGTCGGCAACGGCTGAAGATGATGACTATGAGCCACGCCCATCCAGAAAAAGAGGTTGGGCAACGGGAGTAGCACTTCCTGTGAAGAAGGTCAAACAGGAAGCAGAGAGTATTGTGACTCTGGCATAGGGCTGGCAGTGAAAGACGTTGCATCACAGGCTCAGGGCACCAGAACTGGGGGGGGGGCTGCGCTGGTAGCTCTGGGAGGAGGAAAAACACCTTATGACTGTTTGAGCTCATCCTAATTTTCGGCCATGATGTAACAACATTCATAATTAAGTAAAGGTAACACCCTTTTCACCCCGGTTGCACGTTTCATTTGCCCTGTACGATGGGCGCTGTTGGCTTATCAGGCGCCCGCAGCTCACAGCCAAATGGAGAGAGAGAGAGAGAGAGGGCGCACCGGTACCAGCGGGAATTGTGTTGTTAGCATCTGGTGCTGAAAAAAGGCACATCATATACAATGTGAAACAGAAGCCTACATTGCAACAAGTCTGTGGTCCTTAACTTGTTTACACGGTTGTTATCATTTTCTTTTCCCCTATCTTGTTCGTGATGATCGTCATGTGCCTGCATTACATTGTCATCAGATTTCTGTTCCTGTGGGGGTAGACTTTCTGCCCCAGTTCTAATCAGTTTCTTTGTGGATGGTTGTTAAAAATCTGCGCTAAATCCTGACTGAAAAAGCTATTGTTCCAGGACTTGTTTAAAGAAAAGGCAGATCATATACAATGCGTATGGGTTTGTTCTGGTCACTCACACCACTAAGTGGCTCTGACTTTGATGTTCCAGTAAATAGTCTAATTGATAGTGGACTTTTACATATTTAAGGATCAGTGGTTCAAAAAATGTTTTTCTATGCAAAGTAATACATTGTATTGATTGTGTTGTTTTGTGTGTTGCCGAAAGCTGTTTTACATTATAGCGTCAAAAATACTAGGGCTGTACCCGAATATTCGACTATTCGAATATTCGTTCGTTGGCCAACTATTCGGGTTTCAATTTCATTATTCGGATATTCTTTTTTTAATTTTTTTCCCAATTTGTTTTATTTTTTCCTAAATGTATGCTATCAATAAAGGCGAATTGCCATATTCTTATACTATATTTATACTTTTGAATCGCACTATTAAAATGCGGAAATATATACAATCTCAGACTGTGCTCCTGACATCGCGTTCACTCACAGTCACGAACGCAAACGGCACGCTTCACCTCGCTTCACCTCGCCTCACACACCTGAACGCAAAATGCCGAAGACTTCAGCTGTGTGGGACCATTTTAAATTGGACGACGGTAAGAAGAAGGCAGTGTGCCAAATATGCGACAAGAAACTGGCCTACCACGGTGGCACAACAACTCTGAAAAGTCACCGGATGCTGTAAGTACTAGCTTAGTTTAGCTGTTGTCAAGTTGCCATGATGAAGCTGCTTTATCCGCCGTTTAAACAGTAACGTTACACATGATAACATCGTGCACTTACTTTGCTTGGAAAATAGTTGCAAGCAAGCAACCGAATTGTTTTTTTATATTAGTTTTTCAATTTTATCCGAATAGTGAAAATAATAGGAGCAATGTGGGAACATCTGGGGCTAAGGCAATTATTGGCATGATTGATTGATTGATTGAAAAGTTTATTAACAGCTTGTATATTGGGTACAGTACAGTACAGCTCAAAACATACAATTGTTAAGGGGATGCAGACCAGAGAAAGACTTTCGTCTTGTTTACATCAGGGTCCCCCATTTCCAATTCATCATGTATTACTGTACTGCATACAGTTCGTTCATTTATTTTTCGTTCTTCATTTATTTAAATACTGTTTACTGTATCGGTAACAAGTATTACACTGTTAGGCCTACTGTTATTAAAAGTATTGTTGTTATAACAGAAATATGTGTTTTGTATCTTCAGGTTGTAAAACGTTATAATAATAATAGATTTAATTTGTTAGCGCTTTTACAGGTGCTCAAAGACGCTTTACAGATATAGTGAAGGGAAAAGAAAATGAAGGAACAACAAATAAATATATAGTTAAAGTTAAAGTCAAATAATACAAAAACAATCACACATTAAAAGCCAGATTGAAGAGACGGAATTTGGAACCAGATTTGGTCCCCGGGCGCTGCACTGCGGCTGGGTTAAATGCAGAGGACACATTTAGTTTTAATATGCGAGTACTGAGACAATACATAAATATAAATCGTAATAGTATGCTCTTTCTGCGTTTCTGCTTAACAGCGTGTTGTCAGGTGTCTCGGAGCGTGTTATGAACATTTTTAGAAAAAAAATATCTCCGCACCGAATATTCGCTGCTGATTACTACCGAATATCCGGAGCCCGAAAAATGGTATTCGGGACAGCCCTAAAAAAATACTGAGTATTATGAAGTAAAGCAAGCAAGAAAGGAAAAAAAGCCTTTGTCCATGGGTTTGTGTTGCTTAAAAATAGTAGATGACTGAAAATGTATAGCCTATATATAAATATGGGGCTAAAGACACCATCATATATCGGCACAACTGCCGTCTTCTGGTAACATTCTACCCATAGATGAAGGAATGTTTCTTTTACTTTTTTAATGTGTTTCATCTTAAAACAGAAGTGAGAAATCAAGATGCAAAGCTCAGAAGTGAGGGGAAAATCTGAAAAAACGATAATGTGAGCTATATTAAGTACAATTACCTTAAGGTATTAGGACTTTCTGGCCCCATTTCTTATATGTGCACAAATCAAATTGGTTAGGGAAACAAACACAACCTCTCAAATCACACAAACATTGCCCATCAAGTCCCAACACACTAAGGAAGTAATGGACCCAGAGGTGCAGCTGCATCACAGGGACCACGGAGCAGGCCAGAAAATACCTATCCTGTTGGCTGGGGACAACAGCTGGAAATTAGCAATGTTGGCTAAAGCTGCCCCATTTACTGTTTTGTGTGATAATTGATCAATAGGGACTGTCCACGACATTATAAACAAATAAACTAAAGAGTGAAAACGCTATTTAAAAATAATTTCACACTCCAAACTCTCTTGCTGCACTGTACTTTTAATTTTGATATATGAACACATTTAGTCGTATTTTTTCTCTTTCTGATTCTAGAAAAGAGGTGGCCTTGTGGCTCTAATCAGATGTAACCAGGAAGTTACCTCATGCCCTCTTCTCACGACGCGGCTGTAGCATCAATAGAGTCAAATGTGTTGTTATAACTTAAACGTCCCTCATTATACTGTTTTTCATCAATACATTATAGGTCTCAGATATATACAAAAAATGTCTCTGAAGTGTTGGCTCGAAATACCAAACAGATCATGCATTGTAGCATCCCATAATCCCCTCTGTTTTAGCCCTGTTTCAAAAGTGCTGATTCTCTGTCTGTTACTTTAGATGAAAATAAGGAGCCACTCCCCACGCCCCTCTGCAAAAGATTTGGTTAAAAAGAACACATTGGTGCTCTAGGAGGAGATTCAGGTGATAAGGTGGGGGGCTCACCTTGGTTGGTTATTGGCTAATGGTTACACAAGCCAAAAAATCGTTATGACATAAAGTGGCCAAAATCTGATCAGCTCATTTTCAGACAGGTTTTTATATAGATGGATCAGGACAAAAAGCGAGTGAATCTCTTTACACATGTTTATGTATAAAAGACATGAAAAAGTGGATTTTGCATAATAGGTGACCTTTAATATTGCATTAATGTGTCTTACTGTCCCTCTCCTCTCCAGTGAAAAACGTGGTGGGTGTGATAGCGTGCTACAAGGCAGCACTGCAGGAGTTTCGCCGCAGTGTTTCCATGAAGGTGACCGGCTCGGTTTGTATTGCTTAAAAAATATATTATTTGTTGGAGAAGTGGATGACTGAAAATATAAAACCTATATATAAATATGGCTATATTAAGTAAAATTACCTTTAAGCTATTAGGACTTTCTGGCCCCATTTCTTATATGTGCAAAAATAAAACCTGAATTTCAATATATATTGAATGTAACACTTTTATTATCCAAATATCAATACAAACCTTGAATGTAAAACCCTGACACAATGTGCATTAATGCGGTGAAAGGCAATGACAGTATTTCTGTAGTTTGTTTTTAGCCCCTGCACCACTTCACAGGATGTTTCACAGCTATCTGGAACCTTCTTCCGACTGTTTTGAAAAGCTTTCCTAAAATCATCAGCCAGCCTGTTGGTCTGGAAAATGTAAAAATGACAGATTCACACTCCCCTGAGATTGTTTACACAACAACTGTCCATTTATCAAAGACTTAAAAGAGAGGAACTGGGAGAGAAGTGGGTCTGACATGAGTGTGTGTTGTTTGAAAGCCTTGTCCCACAGGCAGCAGGAGGACGAGGAAGAGCGGTAAAAAGGTCAAGACTCGGGTTCCAGGCGTGGAATGACTGGGAGGATGAGGTTCCCAAACGAGGAGTCCTGAGTGATGAAGAAGCCCGATGAGTGTGTGTGTGCATGCTGCAAGAGAAGACACAAACACCATTTAGTAAATATGGAAATTAAACAAAGTAACATTGTTTTTAAAGGTGCTGGTAGTATTTGTATTTGGAAAGAGCTAAGCTTGCTGTATCCCCATTTATGGTCTCTATGCTAAGCTAACCGCCAAAATATTCTTCGAGACTTTATGGCTTCATGATAGCATCACCATTTATGATGGTGATTGACAAACATACATTGGAATTAGGATGAGTCATTTATGTATTTGTTTTTAGGATGAGTCATTTATGTATTGTTTTTTTACATTCATACTAACTTGTTGCACTATTGGTTTCTGTTTGTGTAAAATAACAGGAAGATGAATTGTTTTTGACTCACCTGCAGGGCAGCTTTTTGCTGGGCAGCGATGTGCTGCTGTTCTGCGTTGTCTCTGAACTCTTTCAGGTTTGGTCTGGACAGTGAGATGCTGCAGGATGAGAGAGCTCAAATTAGAATATTGACACTAAGGATATACTATCTCAATGCTTAATACCTGCTCTGAAAACTCCATGACAGGAAACATTGCTTACCTGGCTCCAGGAGTGTTCAACAGCCTTCTCCTCTCTTTCTCCAGCTCTGCCAGGATCGCCACCCGTGCCTTGTTTGGGAAAGCTAGATGAGAACAAATAAGAGGAATAGATATAAAGACAATGGGGAAAGAGAGAGGGGTGGAACAATCTATTGACAGGCAACGCTGCAGATGAGAGTTTAATGCAAAATGACCGTGACTTGTATGTACTGGCAGTATATAGGATTTCTAGAGACTTGATTTCATGCATTACATCCCAGCTATGGACTACAGAACTTTATCAATGTGTAGCTGTGTTTCCTGAAGGGGCCCCAAAGAGCAAAGGGGGGTCAGCATTCATAGCTACGCCCCTGCAGATATAGCTCAATAAAGACAAAGCCCTTAAACACCAATACCGTTTGTCCAATAATAATTACCTTGTCCTGGTGGATTTGTAGCCATGTCGCCGCAGGTAAAAGGAAGACAGTCAAAATGACAAATTATAGAAAGGTTTCTATTAATGGTATTCGTTTTATTTGTGTGTGTTTCCTTCCTCCCAGCTAATGTTGCACTGGTGGATAACGGACAACGATAAAAGTCCCCTTGGGTGAAACGTATAACTTAGACTGGAGCTGGATAAACTACACAGAAGTTACTGTTGTAACAATAACTGTTGTAACAGTATCTGAAGGATTAAAAGACGATAAAACTCTTGCTTATGTACGGTTGGTGAGTCGCATTTTGCCTCTGAAAGAAGTACCGGGTTTTCAGCTAGGTTGGTTAGATAAAAGTAAAAATGAAGATGTCTCACTCTGCTCCCATGTTCGGTTACCAACATTGTTATCAACGAGAACCAAGAGAAAGGCTGACAGAGGAGGGAAAATGAGCATGTTGAAATTATATTACTGCTACAAAATATATTAAGCTCTGAGTCACATTGACTCCCACTTGGGAAACCAGATTGTCCACACTTTTCTTATTGATATGCCCAACAAACCTAGTGCATTGATGCAATAGTGGATACAGTTGTTGGTAGCAAAAATGTTTTCTTAAATTGACGAGGTGATTTATACTATGATTTATAAACTACCCGTTTTATACACAATTCATTGGGAATTTTGAAGGCTGTTTAATGTTACAAGCTTATATTGTTGCCTACAAAATTATCAGAGTTAGCCGTTTCATCAACAATTCTATCATCCTCTCAATAGACGATCTTAAGAATTTCATTCGTTGCTATTTGTCACGTGATTCACATGTTTACATCCGGGTTCGTGTTGTTTAACTTCCGGAGCTGCGCAGTGGGAGTCAGCTGACAGTTGTGGCCAACCAGCGGGTGTAACATCGCAAGGAGACAGTGAAGGGAGAAAACAGCCTCCCTCTGTCTGTAGTAACCGTATCAGCCGCGGAGAACCGGACAGTTGTTACCCCCCGGTACCCGGACACGTCCTCCCGCCTCCCGCAGGATGAGTGTTGGTGCTCCGAGGGCCCTGGCCAGCTCGGGGCAGAAGCCCATCACGGAGATCCTCCACCCGCTGTCCGCAGCCGAGGAGCCGCTCTCCGTCACCGTCGGAGGGGACAAGGTAGGCATCCTCAGCCGGGGCTTTACCGAAACCTGTTATCGTGCTTTGAGAACAACCAGGGGCTGGAGAAAGCACCTAACTACTCTGTGTACAGTGACCTGATTTCAGGCTGCCACCAGTGTGTGTGGTTGAATCCATCAAGTAGTCCATTAAGTGAACTAATGGAAGTTTAATTGAGAAAATGGGGTAAACATTAGCCGACCCTTCTTCTGGTTAATGTTTATTATTTTTTGTGTTTACTTTAAAGTGTTGCTGCCTATGACAGGAGTGATTTGAGCCTGAATAGTTTGAATTTGACCATAAATCAGTGTTGCATATATGCTTAACCTTTTAGATGACTATTTCTTTAAAAAAGGGGGTTGTTTTTTGAGAATACAACAAAAACAACCAAATGCATGTAAGAACAGACACATTCAGAAGCAACATACTACACACAAGGTAACTATGAGTAATGTGTTTTCAATACATTGACACCAGTTTACACATATTTAGCTCATTCTATAAAGGGGACCTGACATCATTATTGGTGTGCTGTGTAAACAAGGATTGATCAAACAAACAAGTCATACAGCTTTTACAATCCTGTTGTTTTACACACAGGAGGAGTGACTTGCTGAGCAACCACTTTGAGTGAAGTTAATCATTGTCGATGGGAGATGATGTGATATGTCTTGAACCTCCACACAAACTAATCTGTGAAGCCTGTATGAGTTGAAGTGAACCTGGCCCACAACTGAGGAGGCAATTATGCATATACTTCTAACAATCTGTCAATACTCTCCAATGAAAGTTGATGGAATGTTTGAATATGGGCCTGGAAAATCATATTTTTCACATTTCATATTTAACCATACAGTGTTAAGAAGTACAACTCTTTAATTTGTTATGTTTATTTGCATGAGGGCCAGATTTGGAGCATAAACCAATGTCACACACCACAGCAATAGACTAAACTAATGTGCAACTAATGTTACTAGATAGGCCTTTAAAATACACAAGAGACAGTATAATAGGCACGGTATGCATTACACTTTTTAACAGGAGAAAACAGACCAAACACTCATATAGAAAACAAAAATTCTCATTTTGTTTTTATATTATCTTTTACACCTTATATATTGTTTTCCTGCAATATTCAATCATATCCATAAGCAGAGGTTGATGTCATTTAATGGGCTGCTTTCCTCGGAGATATTTGTCATCACTGTAGGAAAAGCACATGTTTTAAACTAGTAAGATATTAATGGCTGAGTTCCATTTAGCTGCTTGGGTCTTATGTCCTGATATTCTGCATGCTGTCTAGTTAATAAGTAGTTAATGCCATTAGTAACACCTCTGCTTTCTCTACTATGACAGTTAAAATGTCTCCTGCTAAAAAGGCCAATAAAATACTTATGCAGACATAATGACAAACTTGGTTACCCTCCATATTTATCAGCCAAAACTGTCCAATATGTTCAAAAAGTTTGAAATGACTGTAAAAATGCAATATTTACGCTCCACCACAGTATGAACGGGGATAATGTTAATGATTTGGTTATAATATGGCTATACTGTATACACTAGGCTTCGTATTGAAAACACATTCTCCCCAGTGTACATATTTTCAGATTCTTCCTTAGTGTGTTTGTGTTTGGTTGTTCACTCACAGTGGTGTGATGACGCAACGCCATGCAATTATCTGAGCTGTGATTACCAGTGCAGGTTAGCACCACAGTGTGAAGAACGGCACAATGTCAGCAGCCTGTCTCTGTTTCTGTGTGTACACAGCAGCAGAAAGAGAGTGGTGTGAAGAAAAAGTGTGTGTGGTCAGCGTGTGGTTGTTCACACACACACTTTCTTCACACTGATTTATCTGGGAATTAGCACACATGCAAACAATTTGCTGTTAGAAAAAAGGGATAAAGGTTGAACTTGAGCTGCTTTTTGCACCTTAACCCAGGTGATGAGATGAAATCAAATGTGACAGTAAAAGATTTTTTGAGTTGTGTTTAGATGCTGCAGCCCTGCTACCAAAGTGTTTTGCCTACCTTCCTGTTGCAGTGTTGACATGTTTAGTCTTTTAGTTTACATTTAACATTCTGTTGCCTGCGTTCCCTGTGGTTTACTTAACGAAAGTCCTTTAGATAGGTGCAGTAATATTTTAATACATTGTCAACATTTATTTTTCATCCAGTGGATTCCACATGCTGTCTCTCTCTTCATTGAAGGGGGAAACATTTCCACATCCTCCAAAATGGTCCAGTAATTAGCTTTTTGCAGATTTTATTTAACTTAAGTTGGAGCTTGTGGGGAAAATGTGCTCTCTACTGCAGTTTTAGAAATCCGAAAGTGTGTGTGCATGCGTTTTCACACTAACGTAACTGTGGGAAAGTGTCTTGGAATAGTTTGGCATTAGTTTGGTCATGATATCTGTGTCTGTGTTGCTTAATGCTCCAATTCACAGGAAAATATCTGTCTTTTCAAAATAACAGTCAACATTTCACAAGGGTTAGGTTTAGGAAAACACGCTTATTTAAAAAGGTTAGGCTATTATTTTCCCACAGTTAGAATTCTTTAGCATTAAGGGCCGTTTAAAATGTGTCCCCAGCCCAAAAACGCTCCATTTCTCCCCCCTCATCCATCATTCAATTAGAGAGACAGCAGTAGTGTCAGATGATGCACCCAGCTCCAACAAGAGCCCCATTGAGAGTGACAAACATACACCATCAGCATCCATCCATCATTCACCATTGTGTTCTCTGTCCACGCAGCAGGAAATGGGGCTGACCAATGGCACGCCGGTGGAGACGTCGAGTCCCGCCTCCACGTCCTCGCTCTTCAACCGGCTGCAGCTGGACGACGACCTGGAAGCAGATGTGCGGGACCCCTACGCAGACAGCACGGAAATGCGTGACCTTTTCGTCACCGTGGACGACCCAAAGAAGCACGTCTCCACCATGGAGACCTACATCACCTACAGAGTCTCCACCAAGGTCTGCTATTGGCCTGTGTCATGGTAGCACTGTAATATAAATATATGAAAATAAGAGCTCTAATACTATTATTTTATTATTAGCGGCATCATATTGGTTGTTAAGCATGTACTAGCCCACCTGCCAATCATTTATTTCCCCCTTTCTTATATCCTCTTATGTTTTTGCGTTTTTATAATTGTGTTCGATATCTAAGTGCTACAAGCTTCCTGTCAGCTTGCAATCAGCAGCTGATTCCCAAACCCCTGGCCGTATTACAATACTGCGCTGTAATGTTAATACACACAATTAGTATTTCTATTTCTGGGATATCTATCATGCTAAACTTTCAATACGATAGATAATCCATCTCTGGCTCCTGACTCTTCACAATGCTTCGACCCATATTTGTTGGTGTTTAGCTTTTCAGAAACAACATTTGTACCCAGGCAGAAAGCTGTTTGCTCTCCCAGTTGCTGTGCACCAAGGGAGACACGTACCTATTTTAACAGAGCACCACAAATTACACAATCTATTTCAGAGTGTTGGCATCGTAACATTTAACATCCTGAAAACCCCAATAGAAGCTTTCAATGTGAAAACTGAAAAGTCTCTATGCAGACCCGCTGGTGTCACCACCTTCATAAGGGATTTATATTCCAGTCAGAGGGCGGATGCGTTCAGGTACTTCTGTTCACCAGGTGGATGCTCTGCTCCACCCTTCACATCTGTCTGACAGTAAGCCACCACTCAGCCTGACAGGACTTAATTTGCTGTGACTTTCAGCAAGGAGTCGTATTTTCGGAGGCCTTTCCTACGGTGTAAATGAAAGAAACAGATTCAGAGGGAGACAGTGCCAGGAGCCGCCCGGGTGGCGTCATGACGACAGTTGCCATGTGCTCTGTTGTGCTTCGGCTCAGAGGCCTCAGACAAATATCACAGCCTTATATGAACACAGTGTCTTAATTGAGAGCATGTGAGGGACGTCTTTTATCACCGTAGTGTGAGAGAGGCAGCGAGTGCTTTCTCAGCTATATTTCAAGGTCACTAGCTGAGACGTAAAGAAACATGGCTGTCCTCCAGTCTCATGTTTACCTAGGGATTGTGTGCGCTGATGTCTTAAATACATTATCCTCTCAGGTAACATAGCAAATGCTCTCATGTTTGTCTTTTCTCCAGACATCACGGGTGGAGTTTGACCTCCCGGAGTACTGTGTGCGGCGGCGATACCAAGACTTTGATTGGCTGAGGATCAAGCTGGAGGACAGCCAGCCCACCCACCTCATCCCTGTAGGTCACATGACCCGCCCGCCATGCAACCTGTCCTGTTTTCCATCAAGAAACGCTTCATTTACAGTCTATTCCTTCTCTTTCCTTCTCCTTCAATCTCTGTTCTGCTCTAGCCGCTGCCCGAGAAGTTCGTGATGAAGGGCGTGGTGGATCGTTTTTCGGAGGAGTTTGTGGAGACGAGGATGAAGGCTCTGGACAAGTTCCTGAAGAGAGTTGCCGATCATCCCGTCCTCTCCTTCAACCCACATCTAAATGCTTTCCTGACGGTCAAGGTGAGACAACACAACAGGGTTGAGATAAAAAAAAATCCAGCACTTGTTAAATCATCTCTGTCCTCGCCCACAAACAAATCTGTGTAAATGATTTGCCAGGAATAAGGAGACAAAACACACAATAACCAAATTGAAAAAAAAAAATTGTTACATTTGCTATTGATACTACAATAAAATCGTTATAGTAAATTATTTTTGTCCACAATAATAGTGTAGTGGAAATCTAATATTGCGACAGTCCTAATCAATAGGGGTGTGTGTGTGTCTGTTTGTGTGTTTTCTCCACATATGCCAACAGTCACCTATTTTGTCTCCAAGCAGCCGAGACACAAGACAAGACTTTATTGATCTCTGCGGGGAAATGAGGTTGTTACAGGAATAAAATAATTAGGACTCAGAAAAAAAGTGCAGCATCAGCATTTCAGAACAATATAAAATCTACCATGTACTGTAGGTGAAAAAGATAATAAAACAACAAGAGCAGCTGTAGCAGTTCATTCATGTGACTATTTCAGCACTTTAGGTATAAGATAAATATTACCCTTGATTTCTTCTGAAGATTGACTTCATACCATTTATCACAATATGCAATGTCAATTAGGTGTTTAGGTGGCACAAGGTGCATAGAAAAAGTGTTTATCCAAATGTGCAAACACATCTGCTACTTCATTTTTTTTAATTCTCGGCCTCACGTCTGCAGGACCTGAACAAGCGTCAGGGTCTCGCCCTGCTGTCCAAGGTGGGCGAGTCGGTGAAGCACGTTGCCGGGGGTTACAAGCTGCGGGCGCGACCGGCAGAGTTCTGCGCCATGGGAGAATATCTGGACACCTTCAACCAGAAACTGGGAACCATCGACCGCATCGCTCAGAGGATCCTCAAAGAGCAGTCAGGTAGCAACAGAGGAGACTGAGCATAATGAAATGCACTCTCAAGGTTCACGATTCTTCCTTTTTAAAACACATTTCTTTGGAGCCTTTTATTGGACAAAAGTCCTTTTTCTAGTTCTAATAAGCACCAAGAGGGCTTGCAAATGGTTTTAAACCACTTCATTGATTGATTTGGTTATTAAAGAGACAAGTAAGAGAGGGATGATTACAATGAATTACAAATGAGAAAACTATTCCATTCAAATAGAACTTCAAATATGTCTAGACAATCATTATATAGCAACAAATTAAATTAAAACCTGATGAAACATTACAAAATTAACAAAGGAGCTGTTGGGGAAATAATTGTATATCAATGTGAAAAAAATAATAATACCTACATCCCCAAATAATTGTAAAGTATGTTTTAAAGAGGAAAAAAAACCACATTTTCAATTGTTATTCCTTCATCTCTTTCTATTATTTACCAATTCTATTACACACATTGTGGCAAAAACTTAACATAGTAAAAAAGGGCCGGGATGTAGTAAGCACTTCCTGGCTGGAGGGCTGAAGCCACTCTTTCACTTCACTTTGCAAAAGTATTTTAGGCAGCAGGAAGCAACATTTTGACACCTCTGTGTGCTGATGGCAAAACAGCCTCAAGTAGTAATCTCTGTCTATACTCTACCCCTCTTAAGCAGTTATTGGAATGTGCTAATTTACATTCTTCCTGTGGTGAGCCTATATCATGCAATGGTTCAGTCTGAAGCTAACGCTAGCTTGTGTGGCTGTATCTGCAGTGTTGACTCAGTGCTGTTGCTGCAGGAGAACCCGCAGACCTTTGGCCTTCTGGGAGCACGGTTGATGCGGTCCTAACTCATGCATGACAAGTGATCCTGTAAATACCTGACATCTGCCGGGTGAAAGGCTCGTTGTGACCATCTGTCAGGGTTTAAACGTGTTGCAGTCTGTGGCCTTAGAAACCCGCAGCGCAAACGTTTCCATATTGGAGGAGATAAGATGGAAACTCAGGAAACTGTAGATAATGGAGGCCTACGAGCTGGCATGGAGTGTACAAAGAAAAAAGGGAAAAGAAAATGATTTGCGTAGCTTGACTCAGCAGCCCTGTGTTCAACCATGACCTTTTTTGAATGTGCAATTTACCAAAAATAGACAACTGAACACCCCTTTCTCTCCGTATTGAGGATAGAAAGTTCTGCTTTGATCGGTTTTCCGGTCCAGCCGTGTCTTGTGACGCCACAGAGATGGAAACACTGGTTATCTACAGGTCACTAAGAAGGAAAAAAGAAACCCAGCAAAAATAGTTGTCGAAAGCATGGGAGGTTCTAGGGGGGGGCGAACAGGGGCCAGTGCCCCTGTAACATGGAGCTTGGACCACCCTGTGGCCCCCCTACAAAAGAATACATCTATGATAATGCAATTCATGTAAAAATACTAAGGTACTGTGCTCTTACCTGGGCCAAAGTTAACAGGATTTCTTTTTTTTTCAGTAATTTAATAAGTTGGAACTAAGTTACTGAAACAAATGTTGTGACTAAAACAAATCCCAACAAACATTAAGAAATAAAATAAAAACAAAGTTTGGCTGCATACATAATGTATTTATTACCCCCAAACTTCTTTTAATGTTCTGTATCTTGGGCCAAAGTAACAAAAAAACAACAACAAAAAAGTAATTGACACAAACTCTGTTACTAAATCAAACACCAATCATGCTATTTTATGTTTTTTTATGCGCAATGACTTTAAATGAAAAATGTTAAAATCTCCTGCTCTAAAGTGAAGAAGATCTTAACTCCTCTTTCTCCCCCCCCCAGAGTACCTGACGGAGCTGCGTGAGTATGGCGGTGTGTACTCCAGCTGGGTGGGGTCTGAGGAGGAGCTGCGGCGCCCCCTGGAGGGTGTGGCCGGCTGCGTGACCACGAGCTGCGGAGCGCTGGAGGACCTCGGGGACAACATGAGCCTGGACTTCCTGCCTGTGCTCCGAGAGTACGTCCTCTACCTCGAGTCCATCAAGGTGAGGGGGGGGGGGGGGGGGGGGGGGGGGGGGGGGGTCGGACAGAACCGTTTATTGTGATGTAATCCAGATCCTAGTAGCAGACCACGGTATTGCAACAACAATACAAACAAACAAACAAACCTGTGGCCTGAATTAACCTTTCGACTTTTAGGATAAAAAAATATAGACAATTCATATTTTTATAAATGTAGTGTTATTAAATAGAAATTAGAGTAGATTTTTACTTTGCTCTTGTCTTTATTTGATCCCAGCAACACATATCAAAAATATTACATGAGTACTGTTCATTACAAAAAAAGGAATGTGATTTATATAACACATACAATGCCCCTATCCAACTTTTCTTGTACACTTACAATTTTGAATGATCAGAATGAATGAAATAAAAACCTACTTTATCAATTGAAAATATGTGAGAAAGCTGTGAGCAGCTCCTCCATTTCCTTTCATCATCAGCACATAGTTGCCTTCTTTAAGCTGAGTTGTCTTTTTCCCTAGAGGAAATAGCCTCTGATATTCCGCATGTGTCATTTCCTGTATCCACCCAGCTCCTAAATCATCTCTGTTTAAGATTTGCTTACTATTTTTGTTTGCAGAAATATTACAGTGTCAGTAGACGTCACGCTTACTGTGCTAAATAAAACAGTTGATGTTTCCTGGTTGATTACAGAATGTTTTGAGGAAGCGAGACCAGAGCCAGGCGGAGTACGAGGGCCGACTAGAAGCAGCCATACTGCGCAAACAGGAGGACAGAACGCCAGTAAGCCGCTGCTGCCATTTCCTTATGTGTCTAGTTTTCTAGAGTTCACGGTATAACTGTATGTGACCATTTGTATTATAAAGAAAGGGAGTGTTTCAGACAGCACTTTTTTTCAGAAATCAAATGGAAAATGGAAAAAAGGCTGAGTAATCCCTTCAAAATAAAAGCTTTTTTGTCCATACACAATACTAACACCACAAAGAAAGGTATTCAGGATTTTAGACTGTGAACTTCTTTCCTTTTCCAACAATCCTTCCATAACTCCTGCTCCACCCACACCCCTGTGGTTGTAGCCCTGCGATCTGTAGTTTTTTAATAATGTCCCCTGAACGCCCCTGTTGCTCTAGTTCTCTCTCTCTCTCTCTCTCCGCAGATGCCGCTGGAGGTGGAGAAGTGCCAGGACAAAGTGGAGTGTTTCAACGCGGACCTGAAGGCCGACTGGGAGCGCTGGCAGAGCAACAAGAGACACGACTTCAAGCAGCTCCTCACCGGCATGGCCGACAGAAACATCAACAGCTATGAAAAGGTAGAGCACCAGGAAGTGACCTCAACACGCTGCAAAAGCAAGGACATTCACACAAGTTTGTATCGTATTGTAATTATTGATCGAGCATTTTTGTAGTTGGAACAGAAACTGATATATTCTGTATTTAGTGAGAGCTCCAGGCCTCTGTTGTAGACTTTTTCTTTTAGCTTTTTCCACCCATTTTCAACTGTCAGTGGAAAAAATAGTGATTGGCATGGCTGAGTGTTATTATAACATTTTTTATAATGATGCCATTACAATATCTGAGATCCCATATGTTTTAGATTTCTTCAAACCGGTTTCTATAGAAAATTGAAAGTGGCAAATTGGTTGGAATCGTATTAAGCAATATTTGATACAGCACAAATGTCAAACATACTAGTTCAAGCTTTTTCTGTTAAATATCAAAGAAAATGTCCTGTTTTTGAGCTTTGTAGCCCTGGTTCTGCCAAACAAATGAAAACACATCCCTATTGGCTAGGGGAAATTGTGCGGGACATTTTCTTATTTAAAAGAGAAGCTCTGTTATTTACGAAAAATGTTCACAATATTAGAAGGGTTACATTAAGATGAGTCAAAAAGAATGCTCTACATGCGTAAAATGCCTCAATAGATCCTTTATCTGACTCAAGATGATATTATGTGTGTTCCCAACACTCTGGAAACAATTTGGTTGGTACTTAAGGCAAGGTTGATTTCATTTTTATGTCATACACAGACGTCAGTTCAAGGTGCTGTACACAGTGGAATATAATACACAATTGGACAATACAGTTTACCTGAGTTTGGTATCAGATCCAACAGAGCACTATCACAGCTGCAGTGAGATATCAGTTGTTTACTTTCTATTAATCCGTGATAGACTCACTGAACATGAAGGCTCTTATCAGAAACACTCTGTACACACTGATACAGTTACTCACACTGACAGCTGGAAGTTTCCCAGTAGAACACCCTCTGACCTCCTGAAGCAATACATCAGAAACACTTCAATCAATTGCTCAAGGGCACCTAAGACTTGGCAGGCAGTAAAGAAGCTAGATTTATCTCACCAGCCCAAACAGGACCAAATAAGCGACCTTGAGAAAAATGAAGCCTACTGTAATGACACAAACTGCCACCGGTCTCACTTCATCTCCCTCTGTCTCCCCCGTCTCCCCCCTGCAGAGCCAGGCAGCGTGGGAGTCGCTCATCACTCTCCTCCAGGACAAACAGACTGAGGACAAAACGAGCGAGACGAACTGAACCTCGAGTTTCTCTCCGTGTCACACACTCTCCCACGCCAAGGAGAAGAGGAGCCGCCGGGCTGCAGGGAGAAACTGCCGGACCCCGCCCCTGTTCTCCTGGAGGGGGCTTCCACTCTCGCAGAGGTCTGACCTGGGAGTGAGGTAACAAACGGTACATTCAAGAACAGCTGGGAAAGAGGAAAGACCTACTATGTACAGACAATTTCCTTTTTGTTGTTTTATTGACTTTTTCTACTTAATATTTCCAATTAACAGTCGGTTGCCAATGCTTACCTGTGTTTATTTAACTCTTTGTCTCACTGAGGCATTTTCTGTCTGTTTCCCCATTTTCACATTGAGCCAAATGTGAAGGATCACTCTTCAGCGTTGCAGAAATCAGATTAAATGGTAAAACATGTATACAGAGCGTCCCCAAGATTTATTTTTGATGTCAGGTTGTAAAAGCTTCAACACGGAAACAAGACTTGTGAAATTCTCTCTCATCTCTTTAAGTTTTGTCCATAAATAACAATCAACATCCTTTATTTAAATGGCCACATGTTATTTTTATGCATGTTTCAGCCCATCAACTCTTTGTTTTTCAAAGGCATACATTTTTATTGTTAATTGCAGAGACTTATTACAATCTGGGGCATCCAAGATGTTCTACTCAGCCTTTTGTTTGTTTTACAGGCGGAGAAAAAGCAGGAAGGGTAGCAAGATGTGTCAAAGAAAGACAATTTGGGAAAAAAGGCACTGCTTATTCTTGAAAGGGAAACTATAGGAATTATGATTAATCTGTATCCTTACATACATTGACATGAAGCAAAGCCACATTTTGTGTGGGTGTCTTATCTCATGTTGAACAGAGAAGTCAGAGAATGGATTTTGTTGGAGGTCATTTTGTGTTTTTAAGCACAGACACACAGCAGATTTGTTGCGAGAGCTGTGCAGCAGCTCCACCTGGTGGTTAAGAAGTGTTTCATTATTTTAAAGGTCCCCTATTAGCAGGGCTGCACATAACTGGTGCGCATGCGCACCCCCCGCCAAAAAAGAGCACCGGATCATTTGAAAAAAGGCGCATTTGCAGAGAGAGAGAGAGAGAGAGAGAGAAAAGAGGGATGAGAGAAAAGAGAGAAGAGAGAAGAGAGAGAAAAAAGAGAGAAGAGAGAGATAGAAAAGAGAGAGATATTTGCAAGTTGCATAATAACTGGTAAGATAGCAGGGTTTCCTAATTCTCACACATAGACTTTACTTGGGCGGGCCGCCCAGGTATATTAACGGCCGCCAAAGTATAATTCGCGAGCTATTTAGGTTTAATTGTTTTTAATCCGTCCACGAGCACGACGGCATCTGCGATCCCTCGCTCTACCCCTCGCTATCGCCTGAAGGGTCTGCTTTATGCGCTCCGCACAGTAACCCTGCTGCGTGCTCACTAGCGCACCTCCCCCCCCCGCTTCATAAAGTCAAGTACCCCTCAAAAGGTCCGGTTTAATTCATTTTAAGGATGCACACCAAACAACATCTCCAGGTGCTCCTTTGAGAACCAGGGCAAAAAAGTGATGTGCTCCCCTGCCTATTAGGCTCTTTTTCATCGATACATTATAGGTCTCAGATATATACAAAACATATCTCTGAAGTGTTTGGCTCGAAATACAAAGCCATAAACCCCTCTATTTCAGACCTGTTCAAAAAGTGCTGATTCTGTGTCTGTAGCTTTAAATGCAAATGCCCTGCCGCTGGCCACGCCCCTCTATGAAGTGATTGGGTTAAAAAAAGAAAACACTCAATGTCACTCAGGATATTCAGGTGATAAGGTGTGGGGGGTTACCTTGGTTGGTGATTGGCTGATGGTTGCACAACCCAAAAAACATTTTGACATCACAAAGTGGCCAAAATCTGATCAGCTCATTTTCAGACAGGTTTTATAGATGGTTCAGGACAACAAGTGAGCAAATCTTTTTTTTCCTGAAACTTTCAGAATCTCCTTTTTGCATAATAGGTTTAAAAGAAAACCGTGTGCTTCTTCTGTTGATGTCATATGTTGGTTTTGTCATGGCCATTTATCTTCATAAATTCATGCTGTGAAGATTTCTCCAGACTCGGTTGAGGATACTAAATGGCACAACAGGCAGACCTATCCAATGAAAAGCACAAAGAGGGTAAAGGTGTATTCTATTCAAACCAAGGAATACTAATGGGGGTCAACTTTTTTGTAAAACTTTTTAAATGAAATATAATTTTCTCAGAACCACCTGCCACAGAGACTCGTTTAGAGAACGTTTTGCATTGGGAACATGATGGGGCTGGAGAGTGACGTAACACATGTCTGGAAATGATCAGAAATAACCGTTTGGAGGAGAGTTTGAGACTGTCGAGTCTGTTCAAGTTTCCATTGGTGAATTTCTCAAAACTGCTGACACTTCTGGCATTCAGAGGAACCAGCAGCACTGAGGCTTCTGGTCAATCTGTGTCATATTAACACCAGAGGGAAAGATCAAGCAGCACTCAGAGGAGTTTGGGAAATCAGAGCCAGACATTGCAAAAACTGCTTCCTCTGCTTTAAAAACTGTAATGTGGAAATGATGTGCTCTTTGGTTCTGATTGTGAAGAGTGGCTCAGCTCTGACTCACGGGAAACATTTAGTCTTTTTCAGATTCAGCAGCGTCACGCTTTGTCTTTTCTCCAAATGTTGCTGATGCCTTAAAATCCACTCTGAGATGTTCTGTAATACGTCAACGTCTAACATTATTTGCTGAACCAGCTTGACTTAGTCATGATCGTTTATCGCTTCTCCTGAAATTGTTGATCATTTAAATGTCCTTATTTTTCTCTGTCCCCTTTGCTTTACTGCTAGTTCATTACCCTCAACATAAAGTAGTGAAAAAATCCCACCAATGAGGACCAGGCATCTTCCAAAAACCATTTACAAACACGCCGATTTGAACTTTTTTCCATTTAATTGCACTACAAAAAGTGTATTTTCCCAACACATGTCATTATTTATTCTGTTTTATAAAGAGATTCTTTAGCGTAATATCATTTATTTCAGACTTTAGGTGTTGATTTGAATTTCTGTTCCTGTGTTTTTATATATTTGAAATGTCTTTCAGTCAGATCCTCTTTTAAAGGCTGATGTCACATTACTGTCGTCAGTGCAGCAGAGTGTGAGTTCTCTAAGAGGAGAGGAAGTAACTGGTTTCACTACTCGATCAGTTCTCTTTTTATTTGTTCGTTATGTTTTCCCCTCAATCTTTAAAAAGCATTGACCAGATACTGTTTCCAATTTGACATCATCAGGCAGCAAGATGGGGAGAAGGTCTACGGATGTGCCAAATGTCTATTTGTTTCCTTATATTGAAATCCATGGCAAAGAAGTGTTCATAAAAAGAGCCTCTGTCACTAGACTGTAAAAGAAGACCACCATTTTTATCAGCAAACCACTGCTTTAAAGGAGCATTTCCATGTTAATTTAAGGTTTATGTTCCTTTTCTACATTTGCAATCCTTGTTGGGTTGATTGTCACATCTTATATGGACATCCACCACAATTTAAGATATTTAAAATGATTAATCCAGCAGAGTAAGTCATTGTTGTTTGATTAGTGACTGCTAGAATTCAGGAAGGACAGTGCATCCCTATCAGGCACAGTTTAGAGTTTTGACTACTATGAAGCAATTTGTGTTTGTATCACAAGAAACACAGTGTTTTGGTCAGAAGAAATAAAAGTGATCTTAGATTTGAACACTTGGAACCTTTTGTTTTGATTGTTTTATCAAATGATGGCATCGGTGCTTTATGACTCTCCTGCTGTCTGGTGTAGATGAAGTGACCGAGCAGGAACACTTTTGGGATCATTCAGACTGGATTTTATAATTTTTTTGCTCTTATCGCAATATACTGTATAAAGATAATAATATACCCCAATGTTAAGGTGAATTATTTGGTACAGCTGAGTCTATTTTTGTATAAAAGAAGCAGGTGATCGTTGTTGGGTTTTTAATGAGCATATGAATAACAAGGGATTATTGGAGATTTGTACATTTTGCATAACTGGAATATAAAGAAGAGGCTTTTTTTATTTATTTTGATGCTCATTGGAACCCCAACGATAGTAATCTGATCCATGATGTTAATCTGATAACCTGTTCTTACTCATAGTCATTGTAAATGTCCCATCTTATACTGTGTGCCTGCTGAACCTTTGCACTATATATGTTGTTCCAACCCATGACGGATATGTCTGCTAAAAACACATTTAAGCAAAAAACGAAATTATTTTTCATTCACTTGCCAAAAAAAGAAAATGCATACTCAGCTAGGTTTTAGGGACGATGATAGCTGACACATCCTGTGAAGAGTGGGGAGACACCATTTTGGTTTTTCTTTCATTTATAATCCAATGTTTCCAAGCCAAATGTCCCTGTTTTTTCATCCTGTTTTCGAACCACACATGAATGGAAAACCTGATCCATCTCACCTGTTGAAAATCAGCGTCTTATGAACGTGTGGATCTATCTTTGGTTTCCTCCCGAGTGTGTACTGTTTACGTTCAGCCCTGCATTTGAATGTTAATAATATCCTGTTGTACTTATGAATAAGCTTGTATATTGATGTCGTTTTGATGCAATTTATCTTTACCTCAAATGATTGTTTTGGATATATTGGACCAACAATAAAAAGAAAGAATGCGTTTGATACTCGACTGCTCAGGTTTCTTTTTATTTTGTCTTGTCATTTTCATTTTGATCTCAAAATGTATTGTAAATGCACACAAATAAAACTGAATCATAGAAATGACAAAATATAGCATACCTAAAAAAAGTCATAGTGAAGTATGTTTTAATCATAAAAGGCTGTTGTAAGTGAAAACATTTATATAAAAGTCATAGTAAAATATGTTCATAAAAATGCAAAAGGTCATACTATATTATGTCTTAAAGAAGAAGAACTATAGACTGTATAGACTATATACTTGAATGTTCAAAATGACTTTATTGGCAGAATTAGTGTGAATTTCACAACAGTTGGTTCCATATCAACAAATCACATTAAAAACTTCAGACAAACCTTTGACATTGTTATCAAAAAACAAAATACTGTACCAGAGTTGCAGCTTTAAGTCTCATCAGTGCAAATGCCCTCTGTTTCAACCCCAAATGAACTGTACCTTGGCTGTAATAAACTTATTTAACCCTATTTCAAGTTATTGACAGCAGCCTTTGTGTGTTTGTGCCTTGTTAAATGTAAACAATTAATAGTGCAATCATAAATTAATGCATAACATAAAAAAAAACTATGCAGGCTGCAGGTTCTTTCCTTCAATCCAACACAAGTACAAATAAAACACACACACACTTGCGTGGCTATTAAAAAACACATTTCTAAATTTGATATTTTTATAACCCTAACCTCAAAGCAGTAGAAAAAATAACCCTAAAAGTGCAAATACTTTTCAAATTATTATCTTTTTAGACATGTACCTATACAGTCAGTCATTCTTAGCTCACACTCCTTTAGATGATGGCTGCAATGGGACAAGTTGGACACATTCAATGACATATTTACATTGTGGTAAAATCCCCTTGTTGGTGTTGCTGTCGAGATGACTTTAATTCATAAAAATGTCACTAAAATTCTGTTGGTTTATAAAAAACAATTGTAAAATATGTATTTGTTCATATAAAAGGCCTGTATTGGAGTACAAAAATAGAATATAAATATGAATGCTACTGAATGATCCGCCTGTAGGATCTCCTCTACTACATGTCTAAAGTTTCACCACAATAGGAAGTGACATTAAAGGCACCATTCTGCTTTCTGCCCATTTCCTGTCTCAGTTGCTTACTCGTACCGATGCTAGCCCACGGCTGACGGGGACGGGGACGGGGGGGCTCAGTCCCCTTGGATCGTTTCGTACCGTTGCTTTTGAGGGGATCTGCAGCCGATGACACTGGAGAGAAGAGAGGAAATATTATGGTGAGAAAACGAGGTGTGTGAGTCTTCAAAGCAGGATAAACAAGTTTGTACATCAGCAGGAGACATCATGTAACAACAATACTGTAGAATAGATTAACCCTATATACCAGTGACGAGGCAGAGCCTCCCCTGTCATACTCCAATGAAACGGAAAAAAAACTAAAGAAAAACTAAATAATAATAATAATAAAATCTCACCAATGATCTGTGTTGTAAATGTGATTTCTGTATAATTCCAATCGCTTTTTATAGTCAAAATCGGCAAATGTGCCGAGCTCCGCTACAACTAGGCTACATGGGAGCGATGAGAAGTGAGGCAGGGACGAGCTCTGCCTCACGTAACCCGATATCAACTGGCTGGAACGCGGGCACTAATTTAGAGCGGCCACTTATTTTGTGAGCGCGCTCAAGCCAGATAAGGAGGACTTTTACAAAAATGTTATAGAGATTGTTGTCCAGAAGGATAGCATGGACTTCATCTTCAAGTCAAGGTAAGACCACAATTGTAATGAAAATGGGATCTTACTAAGAGAGAACAATCCAATATTTAGATTTTGGGTATCCTTTTGTTGAACAGTCTGTTTAAAATTAATCGAAGCATCAGACTAAAAAAGCTTTTGAAAATAACAGAATATTTCGATTAAGGTCAAAATATAATATTTGTAAATCTGACTCTGAAAGAGTCAGTGCCTCACCAGCCATGAACCTCACCGCACGTCACTGCTATACCCTTGATGTATTTCAATTGTGTCTTTTCTTAAAGGTATCTACATAAGATTTAAGGTAAATCAATAAATAATGGCCTTATCTAAGTGGACAGGTGGGAATGGCATCAAACTTGTTATCTTTGAAGTAGATTTCACTATTGTTGTTTCGAAGTGAACCAGTTTGGAGCCTCAAATAAAAGAGTTGTTGACAGGGAATACACTAATTTTTTTTTCTCAACTCATCCCTGCAATAATATCCAGAGGTGGGAAAAGTACTCAGATGTTGTACTTGAGTAAAAGTAGAAGTACTCAGATGTTGTACTTGAGTAAAAGTAGAAGTGCCAGAGTGTAGGAATACTCTTACAAGTAAAAGTCCAAAATGTTACTCAAGTAAAAGTACAAAAGTATTAGCATCAGAATATACTTAAAGTACCAAAAGTACTCACTATTCAGATGGGCCCATTTCAGAATAATATATATGATATGTTTTATAATTATTAATCATTAAAGTGTTATCAAAGCTGGTAAAGGTGGAGATGGTTTTAATGACTTTATTTACTGGAGGGTAAATTGTGAATTTACTCCAGGTCTAAAGAGTTGAATATATTTCACATCATTTATCCAAATCTGTAAAGTAACTAAAGGTATTAAATAAATGTAGTGGAGTAAAAGTACATGATTTACCTCTGAATTGTAGTAGAGTAGAAATACAAACTAACAGAAAATTGAAATACTCAAGTAAAGTACCTCAACATTTTTACTTAAGTACAGTTCTTGAGTAAATGTACTTAGTTACTTCCCACCTCTGGTAATATCAAAGGACCAAATGCATTCATCTATGGTCAAAATATAAAAAACATAAAACAAAGAATAGAAATGTCCATAAATGAGGTAGAAATGTAATCAAACGTAGGGTCTAATTCAAACAAAAAGCACCATAAAGAAAGTCACATTGTAAGTAACGCATGAGAAAACAATCTTCAATTTTTTTGTATCAAACTTATCTTGTTTTCATACAATTTAAACCCTAAGACATTTGGCTGAAAAATGCTCCAAACAAATATTGATCCCAGGCATTGAGGGTATCACTCCCGGCAACAGTGTATGACCCCCCTCTCACCATATTGGTATCATCCCCAGCACGGTGATTATGCTGGACAGCGTGAAGACGAAGCCTGGGAACCAGCCCAGGGTCCGCTGGTAGATCTTAGTGAAGGCCGGGATGTAGGCCAGGCTGGCAAACTTCAGAGCCAGCTGCAGGGAGGTGAGAATGGTGCCTGATGGGAAGGAGGAGAGACAGGGCAAAGGACAGATACAGTAAATACATTAGGGAGGGAAACACACACATATCATATTCTTTTGGGATAAACTAATCTCAGAGGGATCTCTTTAAAGGAATATTTTTGGAGAATTAAATGTATTTGCTTTCTAATACCACTCTCAACTATATGTATAAAACACTGTAATCTCAGATTAGCAGAAAGACTGTAAACATCGTTATTTTAGATTTCCTTGTATATGCACTTGTTGGCACGTAGACAGAAAATGGGTTGATGTTGCTGCTGCTTGCATTGCACTGACTTATCAAACAAAGCAAACACAAGAGGAAAATCCCTGACAATGAATAACCCTGCTGTTCTGTGTGTGTGTGTGTGTGTGTGTCAGAAAGAAGAAGTATGACTGACTGGCCACAGAACATGCTCTTCACCACGCGTCCTCTTTTTGGCACAGACCAGTGTGAGTGTTTTCAGTATGCACCACTCCTCCCTGTCTACATACCTGTCTACATGCTGCATGGCACTGTGCATACACACAGAACACTAAAGGCTAACAAACAAGGATTGGTAGCTGGATACAAATCTATGAATAAGTGCCTCAGAGGTGACTTCATTTCCCCGAAATTGTGGCTATGAGGGGATATATAATAACTGTAGCAGTTGGAGCGTCAGTAAGGGAGTTTCTTCCTGATCTGCCCATGAACTTCAGACTGCAAACTCAATTTTTAGGAACTGTAATGTTGTAATCATTCGTCCTCAACTTTCTTGTTTTAACACGGTCTGATGTTTGATTAGAACTACTGACACCATTGTGTATCTGTCATGCGCCCCACACACACACACACACACACACACACACACACACACACACACACACACACACACACACACACACACACACACACACACCACACACACACACACACACACACACACACACACACACACACACACACACACACACACACACACACAACACACACCACACACAGACCCACCACCACACACACACCACCACACACACACACACACACACACACACACACACACACACACACACACACACACACACACACACACACACACACACACACACACACACACACACACACACACACACACACACACACACAACACACACACACACACACACACACACACACACACACACCACACACACACCACACACACACACACACACACACACAACACACACACACACACACACACACACACACACACACACACACAAACACCACACACACACACACACACACACACACCCACACACACAACACCACACACACACACACACACACACACACACACACACACACACACACACACACACACACAACACACCTGCAGCAGGGTGATGGCGTGTAAGAGGCAGAGCAGGTGCAGCAGAGTGCTCATGGAGAGCAGGATGGACCCATGTTGGGTGCTGGAGCTGTAGAGCAGGAAGAGGTGCCCCGACACCAGGCTGCCCACCAGGCCGGCCCCCCCGTACAGCAGCTCCACCCTCATCAACACCTGCAGGGAACAAGGAACATTTCTTCATTGAACAGTTGTGAAGAAAGTACATTTGTCCATTGTTGTTTTTGTATTTGGCAGATAAATGGTTAAACAAATATTATTTAGTGCCATTATCTGTTGCTCTTGGTTGCATTTATGATAATAATAATAATGTAGCCTACTGTACATGCATTTGTCAAAATGGGTCACCAATGACATGACATTGTTAGGCTTTTGGAAAGTCTTTCACATTACAGTGCATATTTTGTCACATCACGATGTCTAATGCAGCTTTAAAAAAGACTGTAATGTCCCTTATCACAAAACTTTTTTTCTGTGGTTGTGACCTTCTTTCCTCAACTATTGTCGCCTACTTGACTACAATTTCGTAGTTAAAAGCCGTTAAATACAATTTTGTAGTTAAGCTCTTGTGATTTACTTGAGTATTTTCATTTACTGCTACACTATCCTACTCCACTGCAATTCAGAAGAAAATATGGCATTTTAATCCACTATATTTAAATAAAAAAAACAAATACTTTAGTACATTTGAAGACTGAGATTCAGAATGTTCAAGATAAAACTTTGTTTTTACTTTATTAATAAAGTCAAAGTCCCAAAATTATTCTGAAATGGGATGTTGAGCATACTTTTTTAACTAAGCTATAAGTATATTCTAACGTTTATAAAATTATTATTTGACTTAAGTAGGCCTCGCATTTTGATAGGAGGACTTTTGCATGTAACAGAGTATTTATTTACTTTATTCTGTTGTACTTTCACACTTCATTGTGCAGCAGGTAACACTAACTGAGTACTGACCTTGGATCGGTCCTTCGCCGTGGAGCCGAGCGACGCCAGCGTCATCACGCCGGGCCAGTACGCGCAGAAGCCCCCAGACAGCCCGAAGACCACCCCGGCTCCGTACATCACCTCCAGCGGGAGCCGGAAGAGGACCACCAGCAGCAGGGCGAGCCTGGACAGCAGGTACCCGCTGAGGGGCAGCATGATGGGGGTTCTCCTCCAGCCGCGGTCCCCTAACCTGGCCAGCAACATGGCGGGCAGGATGGGAGTCAGCCCGATGATGAGGTTGTAGATCAAGAAGAAGTCTGTCATGAACTTCTGCTGGCTGTCTTTCTCGGATACGTCGGTGTAGGTGGCGTTGACACTCCGGTCCTTCACCACCATCTGCAGGGCCGTGTTGAAGAGACTGCTGCCCAGCTGCTCCAGCACCACCCCCGACTCTATCTGCCGGAGGACCGTGAACGCCGCATGGCACGAGCCAGGCAGGACCATGGTGACACAGTCACTTTGGGTCACCACACACACAACTCTCTTATGGAAGTCAAAATGAGTGGGAAAACGTCCACAAAGCAGCTGCTGGAGTTACTCTGGTGTCGCTGTTCCTGCCTCACCCAGTAGTGTGTGTGTTTGAAATAAAAAGCAGCGAGGGTGTAAATAATCATCTCCCACGCCTACTTCCTACTCTGACTCTTACCACAGGCACGACGATGACACTGGAAAGTGTGGAGCCTATACTGTGTGAAATATTTTACCAAACACTGGGACAGCTCTTGGGCTTCTGTTCATGACAGTATGGCCACACAACAGAAACAAGTCCACACTTAGAAAAGTAACAATAACAGAAAGGAAAGTTAAATCATCAAAGCTGATGTTATCTCTGGATTCCGTGGCATGTCAGGAACAAATATAAATTAGTAAATAGACTGGTAGTTTATTTTTCTGATAGTGTTTTCATTATTGGATTTAAATGAAAGAGGCCCTATTATGCTTTTATGGGGTTTCCCTTTCCTATATTGTGTCATAGTTTCTGGGACATGGAGACATCACTACATAACATTCTTGTTTCTATTGGCTGGCATTCCAACATGATTTGTACATGACAGGCTGAGGGCAGGACATCTCAGCGGTTGACCGATCACAACAGGGCTAACCAATCAGAGCAGACTGGGCTCTGATTTCAGACAGGGGGTGAAAAGAGGTGCTGCAGCACAGTATGAGACAAATAAAGACCGTTTGAACAACATGTAAACATGTTGCAGAAGAGGCACAAAATACAAATATTATTAGGATCTGTCTGTGTTGTAGTTTTGTATGTCTGGTTATGGGTATTTTCATCCTTGTATATTGTCTGGTCCTTCTTCCTGTGTTTTTCCTCCCGTCGTTAGTTTCCCTGGTGTGTCTAGTTGTCTGATTGTTTTCACCTGTGGCCCTTGTGTTTCTCCTCTCCTGCCCGGCTGTGTCTCGTCTTGTGATTACCCCTTCCTGTATTTAGTCTTGTCTCTTCCTGTGTTCAGTGTCGGTTCGTCTTGTGTTGTGAGTAAACTACGGTGAGTGTTCTGTTCTGTCTCTGAATATAGTAGCCTTGAAATAAAGGAATTATTTTGTCACTTAAATCTGCATTTGGGTCCTGCACACCGTAACATTACAAACCGACCCACAATGGACCAAGCGGATTTTAATTTTGATTTGGACTTGTTATCCCTAGAGTACACTCTTCAGTGTCATTATGCTGAATGGAGTAGAACCTTGGCTAAAAGGGACAAAGAGGCTGTCCTCAAAAAGGCACAAATGGAGGTGGACAACATGCCATGGTTGAGAGGCTCATTGCCTGAGTTTCTCAGAGTTTTCTCACGCAGCCCTGAGTGCCAGTCTCCATACTCTGACCCTTTCTTGGGATCCCGCCTGGCGTTTGGATGTCCACGGAGCCTCCAAAAGACTTCTAAAAGACGCAAGGTCAGGAAGCCAGCTCGTACTCAGGTACCGGTCCTAGCAGCCATGGTTCCGGCTCCAGAGCCGGCCCATACAGCCATGTTTCCGGCTTCAGAACGGGATCTTACAGCCATGTTTCCGGCTTCAGAACGGGATCTTACAGCCATGTTTCCGGCTTCAGAACCGGACCTTACAGCCATGTTTCCGGCTTCAGAACCGGACCTTACAGCCATGTTTCCGGCTCCAGAACCGGACCTTACAGCCATGTTTCCGGCTCCAGAACCGGACCTTACAGCCATGTTTCCGGCTCCAGAACCGGACCTTACAGCCATGTTTCCGGATTCAGAGCCGGCCCATACAGCCATGTTTCCGTCTTCAGAACTGGATCATACAGCCATATTTCCGGCCATGGTTCCAGACCTAGTACAGTCCCCAGCAGCCATGGTTTCAGCCCCAGTTCTGGCCCGATCAGCCATGGTCCCGGCCCCAGCTGCCACAGTCCCCTCTCCAGTTCCCCCTCGAGTCCCCTCTCGTGTCCCTTCTCTAGTCCCTCCTCTAGCTCCTCCTCTAGTCCCCTCTCGAGTCCCCTCTCGAGGTCCCTCCTCGAGTTCCCCTCTCTAGTTCCCCTCTCGAGGTCCCTCCTCTAGTCTCTCCTCTAGTCCCCTCTGGAGTCCCCTCTGGAGTTCCCTCCTCTAGTCCCTCCTTTAGTCCCTCCTCTAGTCCACCCTCAAGTCCCCTCTCGAGTTCCCTCCTCTAGTTCCTCCTCTAGTCCCTCCTCTAGTTCCTCCTCTAGTCCCTCCTCTAGTCCCCTCTGGAGTCCCCTCTCTAGTTCCCATCTGGAGTCCCCTCTCTAGTTCCCCTCTGGAGTCCCCTCTCTAGTTCCCCTCTGGAGTCCCCTCTCTAGTTCCCCTCTGGAGTCCCCTCTCTAGTTCCCCTCTGGAGTCCCCTCTCTAGTTCCCCTCTCGAGTCCCCTCTTGAGTCCCCTCTCTAGTCTCCTCTCGAGTCCCCTCTCTAGTTCCCCTCTCGGTTCCCCTCTCGAGTTCCCCCTTGGTTCCCCTCTCGGGTCTCCTCTCGAGTCCCTACTTGAGTCACGTCTCAAGTCCCTACCCAATGTCCTGGTCCGTTGGAGGTTCTGCTGGGGGTCCTGCCAACTCCATGTCCTGTCCCATTGGGGGTCCCGCCGTCTACTCCTTTGCCGGTGGTCCTGCCAGCTCCTTGTCCTGTCTCGTTGGAGGTCCCGCCGACTACTCTCCTGCCGGGGGTCCTGCCAACCCTTTGTCCTGTGCCGTTGGAGGCCCCGCCGACTACTCTCCTGCCGGGGGTCCTGCCAACCCTTTGTCCTGTCCCCTTGGAGGTCCCGCCGTCTACTCTCCTGCCGGGGTCCTGCCAGCTCCTTGTCCTGTCTCGTTGGAGGTCCCGCCGACTACTCTCCTGCCGGGTGTCCTGCCAACCCTTTGTCCTGTCCTGCTGGAGGTCCCGCGAACTTCTCTCCTGCCGGGGGTCCTGCCAACCCTGTGTACTATCCCGTTGGGGGTCCCGCCGACTGCCCTTCTGCCGGGGGTCCTGTCAACCCTGTGTCCTGTCCTGTTGGAGGTTCCGCCGACTGCTTTCCTGCCGGGGGTCCTGCCAATCCTGTGTCCTGTCCCGCTGACTGCCCTCCTGGCGGGGGTCCTGCCAACTCCGTGGGGGATCCTGCCGAGGCCTGTCCCACCAGCGCCGGTTCCTGTCCGGCCGACACCGGGTTCTGCCCGGCCCCCTGAGAGCCGCGGTCTTCGCCCTCGAGCCCTGCCCCCTGAATGCCGCGGTCCTCGCTCTCGGCCCCCTGACTCTTCCTGCCACTGCCCCTCCATAACCCCCTTTTCAAGCTCTGCCTTGCCCCTGGGCTGTCAGCCCAAGCCCGTCCTCCAGACCCCCTCCACCCACCCTGTTGGCCCTAGTTTTGTGTCCCTCCTCCGGTCCCCCTCCACCCACCCTGGTGGCCTAGCGATAATGCAATGATAAAACATGAAATAAACTCAATCAGAAAAAGTAACTGACTACATTTAGTTATTTTTGTTTCAAATGACATCTTAGTTTAACACCAGAATAAAACACTCCGAGATCCCACGTGTACAGGTTTTGTTTTTAATGAGAAAATATTCATAATATGTATAGTAGGTGTATAAGTGTGAGCCTTACATGTCCTATAAAATAAGAAAGCAGAGTATGAGCGTACAAGTGGTTAACATAGGAACAGAGGTTATACTGTATAATACGATTGCTTTATCGCAGACACACGCTGAAGCTTGGGCACTCCTGCAGGGGAACTACCAGCATTTTCAAAAGATAAATAAAACATCTCTGCACCATGAACTCAAACAACAAAAGCATAATAATCAATCAGAGACAAAGCCTTTGTTTTTGTTGCTTAAAACTCAAATTGTGCTGTTAATAAAGCTAAGATATAGGAGACTATCATGTCAAACATCACTATCAGTTTTCTGCCATTCAACCCTGAAAAGATCTGGGTTCAAGCATCTCTATAATCTAATATTTATTTTGTAAAAATGCGTCACAATACCATTTTGTTTTTGCCTAAACCGGTTGCAAAACCTCATATCAGCATCACTGTACCTGCGTTGCAACTATTCACACACTTCCTGTTGCACCACAATGACACCTCCGCCATAAAAAGGGACACTGGTTCTCTTTAAATACTTTTTTTCACTATATATTATCACGTGTAGAAAAACAAGGAAGAGGTGGGTTTTCTGGAACCAATATATGGTGATTGTTTCCGGGGGAAAGGGACACATCACACACTTCTGCTTGGTGGTTACTGGCACTGTTTCCCCCATCATTATAATTAAATAGAGTCAGATCATTTGCACTTAGGATGGGACTGTCCCAATAAATATAACCGAAAGTCATTAATGGTCAGTTCATGTCTCGCAGTTATGGAATTTCTGTGCAAGTTTACCTCAGTTTTAATGATATAGATTTGTATTCAGTGTGTTTGTGGGCACACTGAAAGGTCTAGACAAAAGGACACTTGAAACAGGAAATGCCAGCAGATGATCGAAAAAAAATAAAAAGTTCTCACCATCCTCCTGACATCCTAATGCTGGAAAATAATCTAAAAGGCTTCATTAAACAAGCGAACACAGACTGAAAATAGAATCCTATCAGTTAAAGTGGTTCGAAAATACATTTTCTTCATCCATGTTGAAACACTTTTCATTTAAAGTCAGTCCTGTAAGCTGCAGGGATTGTTCTGATTGCTTTTAATTTGCCTAAACTTGCTTTCTACCCCCTTATAGTGTTGCCTCCCAAATAGAAGCCTGAAACTCTTCAGTCGTTTAACGAAACAGAACGTCCTGCGAAATTCTCTCAATATATATAGTATAAAAACTGACAGCCCCAACACACAAATATCCAACTTTTGTGGTATTAACATAGAAAACGAACGGACACTCCGTTGCAGCCTGTTGAACTGATAGTTATTTTTGCCTATTTGTGTGCTTGTTTCAGGTTATAAAAGGAGTGTCATTTCATGCACACAATCAGTACTTCTTAAATAAATTGGAAACTAGGCTGACGGTATGAACACTTTTTTATAAAAACGCTTTTCCCCATACATTTCTATCATCAAACTTTATCCTCAGCTAGCAAGGGATAGTAGATACACGGCCCTGCTGGAATCTCTACATACATGTTCACAATACACAGTCCTACCTCAGTATAATACATCAAACAACTGCTTACATCTGAAAGCACGGGTCCGCAAAGCGACGTAGCGAGTAAAGGTAAAATAAGTGATTTTTAGAATACGAAACCCCCGACCCAGCCCTTTAATCAATACACACTGACTGAAGAGACGCAAACATGACCCACAGTCCCTCTTTATGAAGTCACTGAAGAGTAGTGTTTCCTTTCTATCTAACGCAGCTGTGTGTTTTACTCTTTTGAAACTGTTTTCATACAGAATAGGAGAAGATAACATACTCTGTACATATCGTGCATCCTATGATTACTCATGATCTAAGGCAAAGTTGAACCTTGATGCTAGTTTAGCTAATTTCCACGCTAGCATTTCCAAGGACAGTCAAGTCGGCACTTAAATTGAACACAG